TTGCGAAAGTATTCACCCCCCTTGGCATTTTTCCTACTTTGTTGCCTTACAACCTGGAATTAAAATGGATTTGTGGGGGGTTTGTATCATTTGATTTACACAACATGCCTACCACTTTGAAGATGCAAAATATTTTTTGGGGTGAAACAAACAAGAAATAAGACAAAAAAACTTGAGTGTGCATAACTATTCACCCCCCCCCCCCAAAGTCAATACAATTTAGGCCGTCATTGTAAATAAGAATTTGTTCTTAACTGACTTGCCTAGTTAAATAAAGGTTAAATAAAAAATTAAAAAATAAAAATTGGGGTATGTCTCTATAAGCTTAGCACATCTAGCCACTGGGATTTTTGCCCATTCTTCAAGGCAAAACTGCTCCAGCTCCTTCAAGTTGGATGGGTTCCGCTGGTGTACAGCAATCTTTAAGTCATACCACAGATTCTCAATTGGATTGAGGTCTGGGCTTTGACTAGGCCATTCCAAGACATTTAAATGTTTCCCCTTAAACCACTCAAGTGTTGCTTTAGCAGTATGCTTAGGGTCATTGTCCTGCTGGAAGGTGAACCTCTGTCCCAGTCTCAATTCTCTGGAAGACTGAAACAGGTTTCCCTCAAGAATTTCCCTGTATTTAGCGCCATCCATCATTCCTTCAATTCTGACCAGTTTCCCAGTCCCTGCCGATGAAAAACATCCCCACAGCATGATGCTGCCACCACCATGCTTCACTGTGGGGATGGTGTTCTCGGGGTGATGAGAGGTGTTGGGTTTGCGCCAGACATAGCGTTTTCCTTGATGGCCAAAAAGCTCAATTTTAGTCTAATCTGTGGAGCTTTGCAGCTCCTTCAGGGTTATCTTTGGTCTCTTTGTTGCCTCTCTGATTAATGCCCTCCTTGCCTGGTCCGTGAGTTTTGGTGGGCGGCCCTCTCTTGGCAGGTTTGTTGTGGTGCCATATTCTTTACAATTTTTTAATAATGGATTTAATGGTGCTCCGTGGGATGTTCAAAGTTTTTGATATTTTTTTATAACCCAACCCTGATCTGTACTCCACAACTTTGTCCCTGACCTGTTTGGAGAGCTCCTTGGTCTTCTTGGTGCTGCTTGCTTGGTGGTGCCCCTTGCTTAGTGGTGTTGCAGACTCTGGGGCCTTTCAGAACAGGTGTATATATACTGAGATCATGTGACAGATCATGTGACACTTACGATTGCACACAGGTGGGCTTTATTTAACTAATGATGTGACTTCTGAAGGTAATTGGTTGCACCAGATCTTATTTAGGGGCTTCATAGCAAAGGGGGTGAATACATATGCACGCACCACTTTTCCGTTATTTATTTTTTTAGAATTTTTTGAAACAAGTTATTTTTTTTATTTCACTTCACCAATTTGGACTATTTTGTGTATAATATGCCATTTAGCAGACGCTTTTATCCAAAGCGACTTACAGTCATGTGTGCATACATTTTTATGTATGGGTGGTCCCGGGGATCGAACCCACTACCCTGGCGTTACAAGCGCCATGCTCTACCAATTGAGCTACAGAGGACCACCCATAATATGTATGTATTTATATTTATATATGTATGTAATGTGTATGTCCATTACATGAAATCCAAATAAACATCCATTTAAATTACAGGTTGTAACGCAAAAAAATTGGAAAAACGCCAAATGGGATGAATACTTTTGCAAGGCACTGTATGTGCAGATATGGTAGACCTATGTATGGCTGGTGGGATGTGGGAGACACCTTAGCTTGGACCTTGAGGCAGTGCTGAGAGAAGAACAGAGGGAACACACTAACTGGCTGAGTACTGAACAGTTTTAACTCAATTGTTAGTTCTGTATGTGCAAATCCACGGGTCTTCAGTGTGGTGATAACTGACTGAGAAAGAGGAATCTTACACAGACACTCCTCCAGGGTTGGGGTTAATTCCACAAATTCGATTCTAATTCAATTCTCTCTCCCTGTAAATTCCATTTAATTCAATTCAAATTCCAGGTCAGTTTGGAATTCAGAGAAAATTCAATTCCTCTCAATTCCAATGTTAGGTAAATTTCCAATAATTAAATTCCTAATTCAATATTATCCCCAACAATTCCACAAATTCCCATTCCAATTAAATTCCCTCAGGGTTTCAGGCTGATCATGTCACGGTTCAGGCAGCCTAGATACAGTATACTGGAATTATAGAGGTAAAGTTGAAATGATTTAAAACAAAAAGTCCAAACCGTCTAATTCCAATTCAATTCCAATTCCAAAACTTGAACATTGTTTAAATTCAAATTGTATTCAATATAAATTCTCCACTTCATGAGTGAATTCAAGAATTGAATTGGAATTTCAAATTAAATTGGGATTGAGCCCAAACCTTGCACTCATCACACTGTGAATACACTACTCACTGCATCCATGCTTGTCATGGAACGTGGTGCAAGGCACTCCAGATTCCACAACCCTTCTCATTGGTCGAAACAGAGCAGTCTCACCAGCACCAACGATCAAGATCTTTTTGGCCAATGAAGGACAGCACAAGCGGCTAATTCATATTGTTTTCAAATAATTAATCAAGACAAATTGTTAATTATCATCCAGACATAGGTGCCGGACATAGGTGTATAAATTAGCAATACAAATAATACGTCGTTTTAAGATGTGATATTTATTCATAAGCCAGATAAAAAAATCTTGATACTAAAACAGTTTTTACAGGTTTATATTATTAAAGTATATTTTTGTAAAACATTTACCCCCAAACTTGCTATACACATCTACATGTCTTTACAACATTGACACACGCAGGAGATAATTCAATTTAACAATATTAAAATAAGAATCATAATAAACATAATACGTCAAAATTATGTTAATATTTACCAAGCAACTCTATGGGAGACTGTATACCTTTCACACCTTATATTTTAGTTCCCTTATAACCAAACGTCCTGATTTCATTTGGCCCATGAGCCTTTGCAATATTTTGCCCAATCACTGAACTTCAATGCAACTTCTCTGAGCCATCTTAGTATAGCACCTGGCCTCCAAACAAAATGCTAAGGCTGTCTTTCTCGCTAGACAAGTGAAGACACGTGAGTTCCAAACCTACATTCTAATATCATCATATCCAGTGGCCTCTAACAGGCATGCAGTATCTTGCACGCAAGTACACGCACACATACATACGCATGCACACACACACACACACAAACATCCCGGCCACACAAACACACATCCCGGCCTTAGACCGTTAAACATTTTGTTGCTTGAAACAAATGGGAGGTCAATCTTTCAGGAAGTTAGGGTCACAGACACTGAGGGACCCTGAGATGGAGCTACAGGGGTGCAGAGTCATAGGTGGCGTTCCTGCCTGACTACATTGCAGACGCCTGCCAGATCTCAACACTTGGGTAGGTGTTTAACATATCAGCTAACCACATCATATGACATAGCAATCTGATGTCCGACTGTGCAGTCGATGATGTGGCGCAGAACTATTGGTTGATGCAACGTTTGCAATGTAGTCAGTCGCGCCACCACAGACAGAGAGCAGGAGGGTCCAAACGTCAAGTTATTCAGAGAGGGTTGTGGATGAGAATAATCCAGTGTTCCTTTATTCCTTTTCACTATGCAGCCTCTACAAGACCTAACTGTTATTAAGAAATCCAAATGCGACATCACATGGAGAAACAACGTCACGTTGTCATAGAGAGCTCTTGGCTTGGCGAGCAAACAGCAACATCGACAATAAATAAAGATTGATGATGAGCAAATAAAAACTGTAAGAACTTGAAAATACAGTCAGGATTGCATATCAAAACGACAGAGACTGAGACAAAATGTATTTGGCACAAAATAAAATAAAACATTTAAAAGCAACATTTTGATTAAGTGAGCCTTTTAAACGATATCCATTGCTATGTTAATTTGATTGTCCTTCACCGTTAACATTGAGTGCATGTGTGTTCCTAATTAAGAGACGTCTATTAATTAATCAATAAACCCAACTGACGAATCTCCAACAAATTGTCAATACTCAAACTTTTTGACAGTACCTTGACCTTGGTATGACCTTATCAGCCACCTGTTTCAGGTGACCGAAGACTTTTGGCCACAGGGATTTTGGACCTCACAGAGCTACAGGTACATGTGCAAGAAAACCCATTGTCACAAAGCAAAGGGGGATGTCTTGTATTCTCAGAGTGAGAAACAGTTTGATTATCAAGTTCCCAGTGATCTCTGAATAATACAGCTGCTTGATGTTCTTCAGTAAGTAATACTTCAATAGTACTTCATGAAGATCTTACAGAGTAGAAGCTTTGGTTTTTACGGGTCCAACTGTGTACTTGAAGTATAGTACTTCTAAACACCTGCATATGCAGACCAACTCATTTTGAATTGAATAATTTGGAGCGCATGCCACAATGGCATAGTTAAAGTGATGCCAGGGCAATATTAGAATGTATTTCAATACCAATAAAAATAAATATATGTAAATATATGTATTTCACACTTGTTAATAGTATTCTTTTGTAACCCGTGAATGCAGTCCATGTGGATCTGCTATGTGGCGAGGAAAAACTGAAAGGTACATAAATAAAGATGGTTATAAAACAAAATAACAAATGTGGAAAGTAACACATTTAAGGACACATTTACACTTCAACAGGATGGCTCCTCTCTCTGAGAGAGTGAGACCTCTCCTGTCATATCCTTCTCTCATTTCTGTGCTCTCTCTCTCTCTCTCTGTCTCTCTCTCTCCTCCCTCTCTCTCTCTCTCTGTCTGTCTCTGTCTGTCTCTGCCTGTCTGCCTGTCTGCCTGCCTGTCTCTCTGTCTGTCTGCCTGTCTGGCTCTCTGTCTGTCTGCCTGTCTGGCTCTCTGTCTGTCTGCCTGTCTGGCTCTCTCTCTGTCTGTCTGCCTGTCTGCCTGCTGTCTGTCTGTCTGTCTGTCTGTCTGTCTGTCTGTCTGTCTGTCTGTCTGTCTGTCTGTCTGTCTGTCTGTCTGTCTGTCTGTCTGTCTGTCTGTCTGCCTGCCTGTCTGTCTGTCTGCCTGCCTGCCTGCCTGTCTGTCTGTCTGTCTGTCTGTCTCTCTCTCTCAGCAGGGCATGTGTAGTGCATCTTCAGCTCATCGTCCCAAAGAAAAACACAAAGAGCCATATTCACCCCTCATAGAAAAATAAATCAATAAAAAAACATGGAAAGATACCTTTCATATATACTTCTATATAAAATAGTTGTTATATACATATAGACAACAACAACAACAAAAATAACAAATAATTGACCTATACAATATACACCTGATCCATAAGAGAGACAAGAGGTACTGAAGTGTATGGCTTGATTGGAAAGATCATTCCAAATATTTACATCTTTATCATCGATATCTTATACATATTTTAACATCCCTGGAATCACGAAGACGAACTATGGAGACTACATCCCATACCTCACTCGCTCCACTGGCCTAGTCCGGAGGGACCTTATGGTGCCTTGAGCTGTCCAATCCAAACCTACGTTCAGCTCTAATTTGGTGACCTATTATGGGTGAGTGGTGTAAAGATCAGGCGTGAAACTGTCCCTCAAACATGCCATCCTCAGTCTAAACTAAAGAGATGTTAAGTTAGACAGATGGAAAGTCAGTCGGATGTCATTGAACTCTTGGGTCCTGGTTGTTCAGGTCCAGGACCCAGATCTTTGTCTTAAGTTACCCAGTGAGGGTGGGAGCAGAACGGGGTTCACTGCTGTGAATGGCTACCCCCTCCCCTTCTTCTAACTAGACCCTAGTCTAGCAGCCATGTATGTTGAGATATCCAGTGTAGACAGGGGACAGCCCTGCCTTGGCCCTGACGTCCCCCAGTAGTCAGCACTGACTGAGTAAGGCCAGGGGTCCTTCAGGCAAAGCCACAGGCACCTTGACCTTCACTTCCTCCAGGACTGACCCATCTGGGAACCCTCCTATGGACTGAGTCAGGCCATGGGCACCTCCAGGCAAAGCCGTGTGGACCTTCCACCTTCATTTCCCATCAGACCCATCAGATGGGTGGTTCAGTAGTATCCTCAGGACAAGATGTCCTCAGCTCAGCAGACGATGGACACCCCCTCAGCAGTGAGCAGTTGACCGCTGGTGGGGTCGTAGGTGCCAGCCAGATAGTACAGGCCCTGGATGGTCACGCTGCTGCTGGGTCTATGGCCGCGGGTCATGCGCTCATACTCCTCGCGGCCCACCACCTGGCACTTGTGGGAGATTGTCTGGACATCATTCTCGTCCTCGTGGCACGACTGATACAGAGCGTGCTAGGAGACAGAGAGAGAGAGAGAGAGAGAGAGAGAGAGAGAGAGAGAGAGAACAGCAAGTATTTTGAATCGACTTCAACTCTGAAACCATAATATGCTGAGATACCAAAAGTCTATGAAAGTTTGCTACCACCTGTAATGTGACACTATGGTCGCATTTCAAACAGATAAACAACCTGTGCACTACGATTGGTATAATAACATATTTTTTATCGCTTGAGCAACATCAAGGCACATTCCCAACTAAAATTCCCAAAATTCACAGGTTCCCAAAATTTCCAAAATGCACAGGTTTTCCAGAAATCCCGGTTGAAGGATGCCCAGTTCCTAAAACCAGGATTTTGCAACCCAAATGGCAATAGAGTGGTCTAAACCTGAATGTGGATGTACCTTGCCGTCGCGGTGCCTCTTGCCCAGCTTGGTCTCCTCTGGGTGGTAGAACCACTTGACCTTCACCACCATGCTGGAGCTCCACGATTCCCAGAAGTTCTCGATGCGGCCCACATAGGGCAGGTGGGGCCGGCCGGCAGAGAGGAACACGGCACAGTCGCCCACTCGCACTGTGTCCCTTCCCCGTACGATGGCCTTGTAGAACAGCTTCCTGGACTTCCCCTTCAGCCCCCGCCTCTGTGAAGATGCAGGTACACTCAGTACACACAGTCATGTCTAGGAACTAGGGCCCGGGATTCAATCCAACTCAGATAAACATCCTGTTCAATACGATCAACTTTTAAAAGCAATTTCCCTGATGTTTTGCAGAGATCACGTTTTCTGTAAACGATGTGGCTGTCAGCTCAAGTAGTCAGCTCAAGGAGAAATCACCTTTATAAATCAATCTCAGTGGACAGGTTGATTATTTGTGTTGGATTTAATACCAGTCTAGGTGTGCTTAAAGTCGCCTTAAGTAGTTTGTATCTCTGGTCAATTGTGCAGCTCTAACGCTCATGTACCTCTGCTATGGAGGATTGGGGGAGGGCCAGGGTTAGGGTTAGGGTCTCATGTACCTCTGCTATGGAGGATTGGGGGAGGGTTAGGGTTAGGGTTTCGGTTTCATGTACCTATGATATGGAGGAATTGGGGAAGGATTGGGGCAGTAATAGATTGGCATACATTTAATGACCACATAATAGTTTTTGGTGTGAACACCGTATCTTAAAAAATTATCAACTCGTCTCACCTGAGTGGGGTTCCCCGACCACCTCCACATCTGTCTCCCCGGTAGGAACGTGTTCATCTTGGGTCTTGGGCCTGCATCATCGGGGATAATCTTCTGCCTCTTCACTAGGTCTCTGGGGGGTTTGGAGGGGGACGAGCTGCCGCACTCCTTCCTCTTGAGAAGCTTGTTGTTGGCACTGTGGTCATTGGGGGCCTCTCCTCCTCCTCCCTTGGTGTTGGATACAGCCACGGCCTTGGCCACGAAGGACTGTTGGCCCTGGTGGGGTCCGGCTGCAGCTGGGGGCTCGGGGGGCTGCAACAGGCCGTGGTGGGAGGACAGGCAGCTCTGTAGCAGCAGCGTGGAGCTCTCCTCATCCTCCGAGCTGTAGGACGAGTCATTATCTGAGGAGCACAGGCTGGAACTGGACATGGAGCCCGAGCTGGATGAACTTGAGGAACCAGAGGAAGAGGACGAGACGGAGAGACGCGAGAGGAAGCTTCCCGCTGTCCTCAGGCCTCCAGAGGCTGCTGTGGCCAGCGCAGCCGCCCTTCTCCTCCTCCTCTCCTCCTGTTCCTCCTCCTCTTCGTCGTCCAGGTCCGAGTAGGAGCTGTGGCAGTCCCGGTGGCAGCTGAGACCCAGTTCGCCGACACCGTACTCCCCCATAGCCAGGGAGGGAGAAGCCTTCCTCTGTGAAGGAGGGGCACCCTTTAGGAGGAGCTCAGCCCTCGAGGCAGAACCTCCCTTCCTGTTGTCCTTGACCAGCAGGACTGGGTGGGAGTAGGCCTCAGGCCTGGGGAGGCCGCCTACGCCTTTGGCCCCGAACCCAGAGCCGCCGCCCAGCAGCAGCAGGGCCTTGCTGTTCTTCGTCTTAGGTGAAGTCACCCCCTCGTGATCCAGTTTGACCAGGAACTCCTGACCGCTCTTCCTGCTGCTCCGCGGCACCTCGCCGGGCCTCCGTCTCTGGACATAATGCCCGGTCCTGGAACCCAGGGACATGCCGGTGGGCTGGGTGCTACAGAAGGAGGAGTAGCCGTTAGCGATGCTGCTGAAGGAGTCAACCTCGAAGGAGCTGCTGCTGAACAGGCCCTTGGCCGGGGCAGATACAGGGGCCGGGGGCAGGGGGAACAGGTGGGCCTCCCTCGTCCCCCTCAGGGCCTTCCTGGGAGTCCTGTTGAGCTGGAACAGATTTTCAGAGGCCCTCTTCCTGGGGACGGCCACAGCCGGCCAGCTGAGCAGAGGGGCTGCGTTCTTATTGGTGCTGTCTGACAGGTTCTTCTTCTTCCCTGAACCTTTGGGTCTCCCTGGAATTCAAACCAATTGAATGTCTGGTAAGTCACCAATCAGTACACACTACATCTACCTTTACTAGATCAAGAGGTTTCAAGAAATGAATGACACACCCTTTTTTTGCGTCCCATCAGGCTAAATCTACTGGATATAAAGCATCTATGTAGATGATCTTGTCTGACCTGGTCGTCTCCTGACAGGCTCTGTGTTGGCCTGTCTCTCAGAGGGTCTCTCATTTATGGGGGCTTTCTCCAGACTGAAGCTCCTCCGAGCCGCCCGGCTGCTAGACACCAGGTGGGCAGGGGATGACTCCGCACCTACAGAGGGACAGGAAGTGGAGATGGGGGTTAATACATCTCTAACATACACTTGCATAATCATTGTCATAAGTAATACGTATAAGTAAGTAGTCTTGCACAAGCCTTGGCTAGTGCGAGCCGGAACAGCTGATAGGAGCAGGAGCCTACCTCCTGTTTCTGTAGTGTGAGGCAGCTAGTACACCTCCTGGACAGGACGTTAGTCTATCACAGGGCATTACCCCCAATCTATCTCCTTAATGCATTGGGTCCCATTTTTTCGGTCTTTGGTATGACTCGGCTAGGGATCGAACTCCCAACCTTCCAATTTCAGGCCACTGAGTTGGTCAATAAAGTAAAAGTAATGTTTAAAAAGCAGCAAGATATTGTCCATGATTCCCAATGTGTCCATAATTCATAATGTGATTGGAAGGTCTTATAAGGTCTCATAATAATTGTAATTAGAAGGTCTAGTATATTCAGTAACCCTGTAAGCATACAAGGTGGACGACAGAGCGATACAAAAGAGACACTCACAGTGGATCTGGTATCCCGGGGGGAGGAGGCGGATGTTTGGGAGGGAGATCCTCCCCCTGTCTCCATCATCGAACTCCACCATCACACCTCCCTGCTTCCCCTCCTCCCCTGAACCACCTGCAAGAGCAGAAAGTATAGACACATTTAAACCACAGGCATTGTTAGTGTCACGCCTACTCCCGCTCTCCCGCTCCAGCGCTCGACGTCGGCGGTCTACTAACCACCGGCCCTGGCAACCCACATTACGCACACCTGGCAACCATCATTACGCACACCTGCTCCCCATCGTTATGCACACCTGGACTTCTCCATTACCTTGATTACTTCCCCTTTATTTAGCCCTCAGTAGCCTCAGTCCTCAGGCAGTATTGGTTTTGTTTTCATGTCTAGTACGCTACTCCTGTTTTGTATATCTTCATGTTCCTTGTTATTAAACTCACCAACTGCACTTGCTTCCTGACTTCCTGCGTCTTCGTTACAGTTAGCTAAATAGTCAAAGTTAATAAATTGCTAAAATGAATAAAATGCTAAAAATGAATAAAATGCAAAAATGACTAAAATGCAACAATGGACATCAACCACCCGAGCCACAGCCTGTTTATCCCCGCTATCATCCAGAAGGTAAGGTCAGTACAGGTGCATCAAAGCTGGGACCGAGAGACTGAAAAACAGCTTCTATCTCAAGGCCATCTGACTGTAAAATAGCCATCACTAGCCGGCTTCCACCCGGTTATGCAACCCTCCACCTTAAAGGCTGCTGCCCTATATACATAGACATGGAATCACTGGCCACTTTAATAATGGAACACTAGTCACTTTAATAATGTTTACATACTGCTTTACTCATCTCATATGTATATACTGTATTCTATTCTACTGTATTTTAGTCAATGCCACTCCGACATTGCTCAATGTAATATTTATATATTCCTTAATTCCATTATTTTACTTTTAGATTTGTGTGTATTGTTGTGTATTGTTAGATACTACTGCACTGTTGGAGCTAGGAACACAAGCATTTCACTACACCCGCAATAACATCAGCTAAATATGTGCATGTGACCAATAAAATTGTATTTTATTTGACAAAAATGCTGAAATGAGTAAAATGCTAAAATGAATAAAATGCTAACAAACGTCTAAATTGCTAATGCAATTTTTTAATGAAATGCACATAGGAATGAAATGATAATGCAAAAAAAATGAATACAATGCTAAATGAATAAAATAAATAATAACACAAATGGATGAACGTGGACACCATGGATGAAAGTGAGGCCAGTTTGTAGTTGTTATCTCTCACCTCTCCGTATGTTGCCTGGGTATAGGCAACGAGAGCGTTCGCTCCAGTAGGCACACACCCTCGTCCCCTCAGCGAGCACCGACTCTGTCTCTGGAAGCACATCCAGGACCTGAAAGTCAAACAGACACTGAGTCACCAAGATTCATTACAGACAGACAGCAAAGACACACACACACGCACACGCACACACACACACAAACACACACACAAACACACACACAAACACACACACACACACACACACACACACGGCTGGTCACTGTGCCACACCGCCAAGCAGCATTATCTCATGCCAATGAGCCAGTCACAGCTGAAAGGAGCGGAAGCTGTGATGCAGTAAATCCTGACTTGCTGAAGTAATACTAAGGAGGAGATGAATGGGGGGACTGTGATTGCAGGTTGCCAGATTCTCCTCCCTGACAATGCAGCCAGGGCCCAGCATCCGCCACTCAGTGGAGCCCCTTTCAGGATGTTTTAATTTACAGTTGCCATGGAGAGGGGTCCTTGACTGATGATATGTGGGTTATAGGCAGGCGTTTAGTGTGTGTTTTTTGGTAGTGTGTTTGTGTGACTGTGTGTTTGTGTGTTCACGGTTGTGTGTGTTTCTGAGCACACACGCACGTGCATGCATATGTGTGTGTGAGTGGGGCCTCAGGCTCTGCTCAGGGGAATATGGGGTCTTGGTGTAAGAGTTATACATGAATGGCTGTTGGAACAATTGAAAGACAAGAAAGTGGAAATATGGTGTAATTATGAACAGCTGCTATCTGACGGCCGTTTACACAGCGGACACGCACACACACGTTACACGGCGGAAGGCACACACACATGTTACAAAGTGGACGGCACAGCTGCCAAGATTAGAGCACTGATGGACTGACTATGCAACTGGGCTGAGGGGAACCCCCCCCCCCCCTCTTTAACACCAGTTGAGAAATGTTTATGTGTCAGGGAGAGAAGGTTTGTTAGCATTTTGACTAAAGGATACTTGTGTGCTTGAGAGAGAGAGAGAGAGAGAGAGAGAGAGAGAGAGAGAGAGAGAGAGAGAGAGAGAGAGAGAGAGAGAGAGAGAGAGAGAGAGAGAGAGAGAGAGAGAGAGAGAGGATCCTCCTAGTTACTAAAGTATGGCAAGGAGAAGTGATGCAAAAAAACATTGAGGAACAACCAGGTTGTCCTCTACACACTCCTCTCTTTCTCCTCTCCTCTTCTGGGTAGAGGAAGGTGTGTGTGTGTGTGTGTGTGTGGGTCTAAGGTCTCTGTTATGAGATGACCCAGCTGCCACTGAGCCGTAGCGCCAGGATGTCATCAGAATGTGGGGCAAAAGTCACCGGTTCGGTTTACAATAAACACCAGCAGAGCTTTCCTTCCAGGAGAAAAAAAAAAAACACACACACACACACAGGAAAGACGAAGCTAGCTTGAACAGGTTACACAGCGAAACGCAAATGAACGCCTGCCAAGAATGCCCTGCGGTTTACAGTGTATAATTAGGCTCCATTTCACTGATGGCTTAGATAAACTGTAATGTTAGCTTAGCATGGAGCACCACCAGAAACTACAGAGGGCAAACACACACACTCTGGTACTCAAACCCAGGTGCTAATAAGAAAATCTAACTGAGGGTTGAGATTCTGGTATATATTTCCTCTGAGCAGGCTACTATCCTATCCTGCTCATCATTTGCAGGGTCGTGTTCATTCGGGATTTGCTTTTAAGTGCTTCAAAATTTGGAAGAGAGCGTTTCCTTCTTGGACACGTCCAGGTAATCCCTCCCTGTTTCAGTGTGGTTTCTTCCGTTTGGTGCCTAATGAACATGACCCTGAACTGTCCTTTATATGTTCTGCTAGATCTACAGGTAACTGACAAAATAAAGGAAACACCAACATAAAGTGTTCTTAATAGGGCGTTGGGCCACCACGAGCTGCCAGAACAGCGTCAATGCACCTTAGCATAGATTCTACAAGTGTTTGGAACTCTATTGGAGGGATCCGACACCATTCTTCCACAAGAAAATCCATAATTGGGTGGGAAACACTGTCTCAGGCGCCGCTCCAGAATCACCCATAAATGTTCAGTTGGGTTGAGATCTGGTGACTGAGAAACACACACACACACACACACACACACACACACACACACACACACACACACACACACACCCTTTAAACCCCCTGTGCTCCTTTGAGACCCCTATTTCAAAGTCACTGAGATCTCTTCTTCTAGCCATGGTAGGCAAAATAATGGGCAACTGGTCATTTTTATACATGACCCTAAGCATGATGGGATGTTAATTACTTCATTAACTCAGGAACCACCACTGTTTCCTTTATTTTGACAGTTACAGTTTGTCTACAGTATGAGCCTGTGTCTCCATCAGTATGGGCAGCCTGTGCTACCAGGAGGGAAGTCTGCATCGTTTCCCATTAAGACACAAAACATGTATGGAGCAGGTGCTAGAGGGATTATCCCTACACAGTGACTTTAACGTACACACACACAGGCACAGAAACTCAAAGAGGGTAGAGGACAGTAGAGGACAGTAGAGGAGAGGAGAGGAGGAGAGAGGTGAGAGAGCGGAAGGAAGATGCTTCTAGCTTCTCGTGAGTCTTCTCTCGGATCTATCGGTCGTTTCTGTTTTCTCTTTCTTTCGGGGTTTTAGGATCCCTAATGTTATCCCTTTACGGGCGCCACCCCATAGGTCTAGGGGTGGGGGAAGCTATTGTTTTCTAAGAGGGGGTAGGAACTGAACTCACCGCTTCCTGCAGCAGTTGCTCCAGGGAGTCTGTTCTGGTGTGTTGTTCTCCTCTCCCTCCCCTCGTCATGCCAAGTCTGCTAAGAGAGAGTAGAACTGAATAACCTAGTAGAATAGAGAAGATAGGAGATGCTGAGAGAGAGTTACGAGAGAGAGAGAGAGGAGCGTTCGAGAGAGAGAGAGGAGAGATAGAGGGAGGGAATCGAGTAGAGAGCTATGAGATAGTATGACTCGATTATGTCGTCAGTCTGACTGCGAGTACTTCTGGAGTGAGGTGTGGAGCGGGGAAAGCATATTTTCAGATGTGTGGGTATTATGCCTGCCTGGCTTCACGTGTCACTCTCCCACTCCCCCGTTCCACCTTTTATTGCCTGCTGGCGGAGCAGCATTATCAACACTCTTCTGCTCAGAGTGAGCTGTGTGTGAGAAGACATGGAGTTATGTAACAGAGAGAGGGGGGGGTTGGGTTATCAGGGAGGGGGAGATGAGGAGAGTGGGAGCTTGGGAGGAGGAGGAGAGAAAGGGGGTTAGAGAGAGAGAGTTCAGGACGTGAGAGAGAGGTAGGGGGGGTGTTAGAGGGAGGTGAGATAGGGCGGTGGGGGTGAGGTAGAGGGGTTGGAGGAGTTGGATCACGGAGGCTTGGAGAGACGCTAATGGACTAAGAAGAGAGAGCGCTCTGCAGGGGGTGTGTGGATTCACTGTAGAGAAGACCAACCATCGCTCCCAGCCACTGAGGAGTATTGGTTGATACTGTATATACTGTATATATGTGTGTGTGTGTGTGTGTGTGTGTGTGTGTGTGTGTGTGTGTGTGTGTGTGTGTGTGTGTGTGTGTGTGTGTGCGTGTGCGTGTGTATGCACTCACTACTGTAAGTTGCTCTGGATAAGAGTGTCTGCTAAATGACTCAAATGTCCATGTAAATGTATGCTCACATGTCTGGCAGCTCCAGTGTGTGGACCCGGGCTGCGTAGAGAAGTTCGTCCTCCTTGGAGATGAGCACCCTGAGTCCATCTGTCAGCAGCTGTTTGGTCAGGACACAGCTGGGGGCTGCTGGGTGAGTCGTACACACAGATACACACACAGTCATTTTATGAAAGACAGCACACATCAACAGTGTGTATGGAAGTGCATCTATGTTCCCTCCTATCGTGTGTGTGTGTTTATGTGTGTGTGTGTGTGTGTGTGTGCGTGTGTGTGTGGGTGTGTGTTCAACTATCCTTGTGGATACCACAAGTCCTCACAAGGATAGTAAAACAAGGAAAATTCAGTTTTGCCTGTCCCCACGAGGAAAAATGCTATTTCAGGCTTAGGGGTTAGGTTAGGGTCAAATTAGGGTTAGGGTTAGAATTAAGGTTAGGGTTTGGGTTTACGGTTAGGTTTAGTGTTAGGAGTTAGGGTTAGGTATAGTTTTAGGGTTAGGGTTAGAGGTTTTGGATGGGAATCAATTATTTGGTCCCCACAAGGATAGCAATACACAACTGTGTGTGTGACAGTGTTCCCTCCTCACCTAGTGGGCTCCTGGGGTTGTGAGGGTATGACGGGTTACTGTCCTCATCCCCCTCGGAGAAGCTACTATCATCCTCGTCCATCTGAAAGCCCTCGTCCGCCGCCATGCTCTCTAGTAGCCGGCTCACCGCACGGCCCTTGGGCTGGAGAGAGAGAGAGAGAGAGAGAGAAATGAGGTGGAAACTGAGCTGCACTTCCTAACCTCCTGCCAAATGTATGACCATATTAGAGACACATATTTCCCTCAGATTACACAGACCCACAAAGAATTCGAAAACAAATCAAATGTTGATAAACTCCCATTTCTATTGGGTAAAATACCACAGTGTGCAATCACAGCAGCAAGATTTGTGACCTGTTGCAACAAGAAAAGGGCAACCAGTGAAGAACAAACACCATTGTAAATACAACCTATATTTATGTTCATTTATTTTCCCTTTTGTACTTTAACTATTTCCACATCGTTACAACACTGTATATAGACATAATATGACATTTGAAATGTCTCCATTATTTTGGAACTTGTGTCAGTGTAATATTTATTGTTCACTTTTTATTGTTTATTTCACTTTTGTTTATCCATTTCACTTGCTTTGGCAATGTACACATATGTTTCCCATGCCAATAAAGCCCCTTAAATTGAATTGAGCGAGAGAGAGAGAGAGAGAGAGAGAGAGAGAGAGAGAGAGAGAGAGAGAGAGAGAGAGATAGATAGTTAGTTAGTTAGCATGCAACTAAGAGATTGACACTAAACAGTGCATGTATATGTCCCCTGGAGGTAGCCATTTTCCCTGACATAGTTTCACTCTTCCACATAAGAAGGTGTGATCCACACTCCCCCATCCCCCAATTTCCTGCCCACTCTCACACAGTTACTCAGCAGGGAGGGAGTCGGATGTAGCCTGGAACTATATCCATGGTGACACAGAGCATATCACTTTGAATTCCAGGCTGTCAGATGCTTTGCTAAACGCTTTGACATACCGGTACATACAACAACCTCCGAGCATCATATAGCCTATGAATATAGGACCTACCAACGGCAAATCAGATCAGCCAAATGAAAGGTTAGAGGTTAGAGTTGAGCATTGAGGGCTGATTGAGTGATTCTGATTACCTGTTTGTTTCGGATCCTCCTCCCCCTGCAAGTGTTGTCGTTACTCTGAGGTGATTGGACACCGCCTGACCAGCAACTTCTCCTCTGTAACATGTGACCAGGAAGAGAGGAGTGAGTGAGTGAGTAAATTAGTGTGCGTGTGAGCATGTGTGCGCTTGCGTGGATCTCTGCATCGCTAGTTAGTGCTACAGTATGAAACATCCCAGTGTGAGGAGAGAATGGCGTTGGTTGAATTTGGCAGCAATCGGATTATGCAATGGTTATGTGAGAGATTGAGTAAGAGTTTGAAGTTGTGTAATTGTTGAAATTCTAAATGTTGCAATATATATCACACTCTTGGTTAACCTTTCACATATTCTAAGAGATTGAAGTTGTGTAATTGTCTAAATTCTAAATGTTGCAAAAGAAAAAACCTAAAAGGGTTCTTCGGCAGTCCCCATAGGAGAACCCTTTGAATAATCATTTTTGGTTCCAGAAAGAACCCTTTTGGTTCCAGGTAGAACCCTTTTGGGTTCCATGTAGAACCCTTTCCATAGAGCATTCTACATGGAACCCAAAAGAGGTATCCTATGGGGACAGCCGAAGAACCCTTTTGGAACCCTTTTTTCTAAGAGTGTATCACACTCTTGGTTAACTTCACATGTTCTAAGAGATTGAAGTTGTGTAATTGTAACTTGGTTCAGTTTCGCATTTTCCCCCACTATTGGTTAAGGTTAGGATTTGGAGAAGAGAAGCTGATCCTAGATCTGTACCTAGGCAGTGGTGTAAAGTACTTAAGTTGTTTTTGGGGGTATCTGTACTTTACTTTACTATTATATCTTTGACAACTTTTACTTTTACTTCACTACATTCCTAAAGAAAATAATGTATTTTTTACTCCATACATTTTCCCTGACACCACAAAATTGTAATGCTTAGCAGGACATGAAAATGGTCCAATTCACGCACTTATCAAGAGAACATTCCTGGTCATCCCTACTGCCTCTGATCTGGTGGACTCACTAAACACAGATGCTTCGTTTGTAAATTATGTCTGAGTATTGGAGCGTGCCCCTGGCTATCCGTAAATAAATAAAAAATGGAAGATTGTGCCATCTGGTTTGCTTAATATAAGGAATTTGAAATGATTTATACTTTTACTTTTGATACTTAAATATATATTAACAATTACATTGACTTTTGATACTTAAGTACATGTAAAACCACATACTTTTAGACTTTTACTCAGTAGTATTTTACTGGGTGACTTTCACTTTTACTTGAGTCATTTTCTATTAAGGTATCTTTAAATATGACAATTGAGTACTTTTTCCACCACTGTACCTAGGGGAAACATCACCTGGATTGATTCCATACGTCACATACACACCACTGTACATTAGGCACTCAGGTGCATATCAATGACTGAATAATCCTGATCTCTAGGACACACCCTGTGTCTCCACTTGCAGTGCCGAATAGCTAGCTTTTCGGTGACGCGACTGGGTAAGACTCTTCAGGAGGGAGGTCAGGTGTCTTTGTGAGGCAGTGGTCCTGGGTTAGAGCCTTAGTATGAGCCGAAACAGGAGGAAGCGGTACTCGCCAAGCAAGCAGGGTGAAATCCTTAACACTAACCTTGTTAATGGGTCCTCTCAGCATGGTGTTCTTGCGTGTGGCCCTCTTCAGCCTCTCACTGGTGGTGGAGAAGGTGACTGACCCCATGGTCCTCCGGTAGAGGCTGCCCCTGGTCCCTAGGCTCTCCCAGCGAGGCTCCTGGGGCCTGGGTCCGCCAGCCCTCCTCACCCCCTCTGACTGGTCCTGGTACTCTGGGTGCTTCTTGGCTGCAGTGACCATGCCAAGCCTACAGGGGGCCCTCTTCCTCACCTTCACCTCTCCCTCCGCCCCGGACAGACTCTGGGAACCTGCGCGGTTCAATCGATAATTATATGTAGTAATACATGACTAATTACATTTAGTATTTGAGTCATTTAGCACTCTAATTCAGTGTGACTTACAATCCAATTAGTGCATTCAACTAAAGGTAGGTAAAATAACCACATATTATAGTCAAGTTCCTCAAAACAGACACAATCTGTCAAATCAGTGCCAGTAAGAATAGACAGGTGTAAGTGTGGAGGGTCAGTGGTAGACAGGTGTCAGTGTGGAGGGTCAGTGGTAGACAGGTGTCAGTGTGGAGGGTCAGTGGTAGACAGGTGTGAGTGTGGAGGGTCAGTGGTAGACAGGTGTCAGTGTGGAGGGTCAGTGGTAGACAGGTGTGAGTGTGGAGGGTCAGTGGTAGACAGGTGTGAGTGTGGAGGGTCAATGGTAGACAGGTGTGAGTGTGGAGGGTCAGTGGTAGGGGAGCCAATGTGCTCTCTGAATTAGTAAGGTAGGAGCTAACAGTTGATGAGGTACTCTGTATTATTCGTCCTGAACCAGTGTTTCATTCCTTTATTTTCTCTCAATCAGGAGTTAGAGAAGAATTTAGACCAGTAATGACCCCACAGACTAAAACAAAACAGATGCTTCTCGTGGAGATGTATTTTTTTGTTTTTTAAAAACAAATTTGGGGGGTGGGGGGTTATAGATGTTTATAGTACCATGTCCCCTGTGAGCATCTGTACTTGTGTATGACACATATTTAGTAAACATTGTAAACATGTCAAAGCTGATCAATGTTACAGCGATTCTTCATTTTAGATATCTCCACTGGTGACAGAATTGGTATAGCGTAACTCACACACACACACACACACATACACACACACACACACATACACACAGACACACAAACACACACACAGACACACAAACACACACACACACACCAGGCCTGTCTTCTTACCGTAAAGCTCCTGCCTCTCTCTCTTGTTCCGGGCTTTCTGATTGGCCTCCAGCTTGACGACAGACGAGGGGGATGGACCAATCACGGCGGAGCATGATAAGACGTCTCGGGAGGGTTGTGCTTTAATGTCTTGTCCTTCGTCACTGTCATAACTTCCTTCCTCTTCTTCCTCTTCTAAAGAGAGAACAACATTCATTCAGTATTGTGTTTAAATCCAGCCTATCTAGTTCCTTTAACAGACTTCCTTTGCTTATCATTAGAAAGCATTTAGAGGCTTGTATTTCCCCATTGTCTAAAACTTGTTTTCTACATTCTAACATTTAGCAACTGCCTCGTTATCTTGTTGTCTTCCTGGAGGAAAACAAATAACCATTTATAATGATGAAATACCAGGAGCTTCTGACTGCTGTTTTCTGTGGCTGGGACCTAAAGTGTGTCTGGAGTACTGAGTTCTGAGTGATTGTGTGTGTATGTGTGTGTTTGTGTGTGTGTGGGTTTGCGTGCATGTGCTAGCTCGCTTGCTCATGCGTGTGTATGTATGTCTGTCTTGGTGTGTGTGTGTGTGTGTGTGTGGTCTTGTGTTGCGTGCACGTGGTGTGGGTGTGTGTCTCTGCAGCCTGTAACTGCTCTGTGGTCCAGCCTGCTTGTCTCCATGGCCTGTCAGAGCTTCTCACAGGCAGCTATCCACAGCTGTGGCCCAGCTTCACACACCCACACACACACCCACACACACACACGTACTAGCGGAGGTGTCGGGTGTCCGCGCGCTGCCGACACCACTTGTCATTTACGAGGCGTTCATCAACACGTTCTCACTTACCTCTGAACACTGACAGGGATCACTTTCAGAGTAATTAACAAATTAACAAAGCTCACACGAGGGCTCGAGTGGCAGCCTTCTGAATGTGTGTGTGTGTGTGTGTGTGTGTGTGTATTTTATTCCTTAACTTGTGTATAGAGTGCATGAGACAATGTGATATGATTTTAAATGCTTCCCGTGCTCTATAGAAGTAGCTTACTAATGAAGAAGGTTGTTTATGAGCTTGGTGACAGGTCAGAGGTGCCTTCCACACTTAGTGAAGGGTATAGTGTGTTGAGTGAAGGGTATAGTGTGTTGAGTGAAGGGTATAGTGTGTTGAGTGAAGGGTATAGCGTGCCTGTGTACCTGACCTGGCTGGAGAAGAGAGCTTGCCAGTAGGACAGGAATCTCTCACACCCCACCTGAACACTCACTCTGTCTCCCTGTCCCACTCACCCCGTCTCCCTGTCCCACTCACCCGTCACCCTGTCCCACTCTCCCCGTCTCCCTGTCCCACTCACCCCGTCACCCTGTCCCACTTACCCCATGTCTGCCTGTCCCACTCACCCCCTGTCTCCCTGTCTCACTCACCCCCTGTCTCCCACTCACTCAACCTTTTCTGTCCCTGTTTCCCTGCCCCACTCACCCCGTCTCCCTGTCCCACTCACCCAACCTTATCTGTCCCCGTTTCCCTGTCCCACTCACCCAACCTTATCTGTCCCCGTCTCCCTGTCCCACTCACCCAACCTTATCTGTCCCCGTTTCCCTGCCCCACTCACCCAGTCTCCCTGTCCCACTCACCCAACCTTATCTGTCCCCGTTTCCCTGTCCCAACCTTATCTGTCCCCGTTTCCCTGCCCCACTCACCCCGTCTCCCTGTCCCACTCACCCAACCTTATCAGTTCCCGTTTCCCTGCCCCACTCACCCCGTCTCCCTGTCCCACTCACCCAACTTTATCTGTCCCCGTTTCCCTGTCCCACTCACCCAACCTTATCTGTCCCTGTCTCCATAACCCACTCTCACCTCTCCCACTCACCCTGACCCCTACTCACCCCTCTTACACTGTCCCCCCCACCCCTCCACCCAGACACCTCAGCCCACTCACCCTGGTCGGAGGATTCACTCTCTGCGGGGGTGGTCTGTCCCTCCTCCATGGCTTCCTGGCTCCTGGCTCTGGGCTGCTGCAGCCGTGCGGACCCCTGGACCCCCAGAGCTCCCCCCATCCCCATCCCCTTCCTCCTGCCCCCACGCATCATTAGCGGGGTCCCCGTCCAGCCCTCCTGGCCGCCGCTGTCTCCACTGGCTGCTGAGAGAGGGAGGACACACATAGAGTATGAGTATAGGACCCCGCCGGTTACATTTGTGCCGTGACTCAGATCGGTACACACCATAGAGATAGAATTACAACACTAGAACGGACATCGTCGGTCTAATAACTTAACTACAGGGCAGCCATATTATTATTTATTATTATTTTTATTATTATTATTATAGGTGGGCTATGGTAGTGTTTCTCTCTATGGTAGCCTACACATACAGAGCACACCAGTCACTGCTCAGGTCAGGGCAAAATAAGGAATGCACTCACTATCCCAATACAGAAAAAAGTGTGGTTCCCACCATGTGGTTCCACATCATATGACACAAATAACATGCCTATATAAAGTCACATGTCCGTCACATAACTGAAACACAACATTGTGAGAAAACTCCAAAGGTTGCAAATGAAATCAATCATCATGAATCTTACCAGTGTCACTCTGACCGCCGGACTCGTTGATGACTCGTCGGGACTCAGCCTTGGAGGTGGCTTGGCCTTGACGTCCATGGTGCTTGGGGGCGGAACTAGACGCAGAGGCCGCCTCCTCCTTATCCCGTGGCCCCGCCCCCATCCCAGTCCTCATCCCGCCCTGGGCCTTGTGCTGTCTGAGGTGCTGGTGGTGATGAGCCACGTCACGGGCCAGCTTAGAGCTGAGGACACCATGGAGGACACTCTTTCTGCTGCTGCCCTGCACCTTTATCTATCAGAACAGAGACAAGAGAGAAAGAAAGAGATAGGAATAGAGCGAGAGAGAATGAGAGAGCGATGGAGAGGGAGAGAGAGAACAGAAATATAAATTGAGAGAGAACAGAGAGAGTGAGAGTAGAAAGAGAGAGAGTGAGACCTTTACACTTCCGGACACAGACAGCCAGAGGGACAAAGCTCAGTTCAGCCCACAGACAGCCAGAGGGACAGAGCTCAGCTCAGCCCAAAGACAGCCAGAGGGACAGAGCTCAGCTCAGCCCAAAGACAGCCAGAGGGACAGAGCTCAGTTCAGCTCACAGACAGCCAGAGGGACAGAGCTCAGCTCAGCCCAAAGACAGCCAGAGGGACAGAGCTCAGTTCAGCTCACAGACAGCCAGAGGGACAGAGCTCAGTTCAGCCCACAGACAGCCAGAGGGACAGAGCTCAGTTCAGCTCCACAGACAGCCAGAGGGACAGAGCTCAGTTCAGCCCACAGACAGCCAGAGGGACAGAGCTCAGTTCAGCCCACAGACAGCCAGAGGGACATAGCTCAGCTCAGCACACAGATGGCCAGAGGAACAGAAGAAGATCCACAAATGAAAAATATATTAACATGGAGAGCTGGGGATTTGACTCTTTAGAGTTTCCCCTAAGGGTTCTAATCAGTGGAGGCTGGTGGGATGAGCTATAGGAAGACAGGCTCATTGTAATGGCTGGAATGGAATTAATGGAACGGTATCAAACATATAAAATATATGGAAACCACATGTTTGACTCCGTTCCATTGATACCATTCCAGCCATTACAATGTGCCCATCCTCCTATAGCTCCTCCCACCAGCCTCCACTGGTACTATTGACTAGAAATGTGTCAAGAAAAAAAGAAACAAAGAGTGTGTACAAAACCCTCACACTTTAATTTAAAATATAGGCTATTAGGGTAAACATAGATCACACAACATACAATATATACACAACAACTAGCATTAGCGGGGCTAGGCTAACAGTGTTGGTTCGTACTGGCTAACATAGCATACGGTATAACACAAAGGCTAGCAGGCTACATAGCAGTAATGGTAGAATACTGTATGGAGGGGCTCAGAGAAGAGTTGAGTAACTGTAAGGGTGTTCTACAGAGTGTGTAGCTGTTTTGAAGGGATAGAGGACAAAGAGATAAAACTAAAGAACCCTGACCTCTGCCGCGCCAAGCCGCTCAAAGCCCCGATTGGACAGCTTCTTCTTCTTCCTCTGGGTGTCCCCGCCCCCTCCTCCCTGCAGGTCCTCGGGCGACAGGCCAAGTCCCGCCCCTAACGACCTGCCAGTCAAAACACAGGAGACGCATTCATTAGAGAGGAAGAAGAATAGTGGTGGAATGAAAGAGAGAAAGATCAGAGGGGGAAAATGAGGGGTTGAGTCACCTCTCTGTGGGTTGTTATAGCTGATGAACAGAAGAACAGAAGAAGAGAAAACCCCGGAGCCCTGTTCTCCCAAACCCCCAAACCGGCACGCTTGAAAAATTGGGATCTAACGGGGCGAACCTGGGATTGTTGGAGGAATAAGAAGCCGGAATGCTTTATCAAGGGAGTTCCCCCTGGCCTATACCGGCACAGAGAGACGCTTTGAAAGATACAGGGAATCAGTGAATGGTCTGAAGGCACGTTCTGCATTTGTATGCGGCTTCTATTGTTCTGGCAGTTGAATATCATAGCTCTCCAGTTTCCATTTCCATATCAGTGTGGCTAGCAGCTCCTCTTCCCCCTACAGAATAGCAACATCACAGGGCTGGATAGAAGCAGAGGGAAAATGCCCTTGAATTTCCTCCTGGAAACCTGCCCGGCGACCACACAGATGTGAGCCAGACCATACTCAAACAAAAGATGAACTTCCCCTCTCCTACTGTGTGCACAGCCTTAGCCATGCCATCAGTCACATTGACTGGGAAAGCTAGCAGCGGCATTCCCCCCCCGCCTAATCGGGATTGTGGATCGCTGGCTCAAAACCTTTCAGAGTTAAAAGGGAACTATCTATTACGCTGAGCTGTAAGTCCTCTGTTTACATCATTACACACAGGCTAGAATAGCGCATGTGCGTGCGTGCATGTGTGTGTGTGTAATATGTGCCAGGTAAAAACGTGACAAACTGACTGTGTGTGTGTGTGTGTGTGTGTGTGTGTGTGTGTGTGTGTGCTTGTACTTCATACGTGCACATTGAAGTACATCTGTAATAGCAAGGAGGGAGGGAGGGAGAGAGAGGGAGAGAGAGGGAGAGAGAGGGATAGAGAGATGGATGGAGGGAGGGAGAGAAAGTGATGGAGGGAGGGAAAGAGGGGTAGACTAGATGTGACGCAGGGCTGTCTGTGTGTGTACGTGTATGTGTGTGTGTGTGTGTGTGTGTGTGTGTGTTGTGTGTTGTGTGTGTGTGTGACTGACAGGAGAATGGCAGAGGTGGCAGAAGTGTGAGCTGTCCCTGAGTGGCGGACACCTCCGACCCCTTCCCTCCCTCACACACTGACAAACAACGTGACAGAGCACAGTTGATTAGCAGCTCCTAGTTTGTACACACACGCACACACACACGCACACACACACGCATACACACACACAGAGTTAAACACGCACAAAGATACAGATACACCCACGCACGTCCGCACACACACACACACACACACACAATCCAATCAGAACAGCCAGCAACACAAAGCGCCCAAGCAACTCTACCAAAGGAAATTGGTTTTACATAGCCCTCCAATGTAACACAACATTGGGCCAATCTGTCCCTGTCTGCACGTGTCTCATTAAAAAACACCCACCTTCCTGTAGCTGCAGGCCAGTCATGGAGACCTTACTATAACTGGAGACCAGTCATGGAGACCTTACTATAGCTGGAGACCAGTCATGGAGACCTTACTATAACTGGAGACCAGTCATGGAGACCTTACTATAGCTGGAGGCCAGTCATGGAGACCTTACTGTAGCTGGAGGCCAGTCATGGAGACCTTACTGTAACTGGAGACCAGTCATGGAGACCTTACTGTAACTGGAGGCCAGTCATGGAGACCTTACTGTAACTGGAGACCAGTCATGGAGACCTTACTGTAACTGGAGGCCAGTCATGGAGACCTTACTGTAACTGGAGACCAGTCATGGAGACCTTACTGTAGCTGGAGACCAGTCATGGAGACCTTACTATAGCTGGAGACCAGTCATGGAGACCTTACTATAGCTGGAGACCAGTCATGGAGACCTTACTGTAACTGGAGACCAGTCATGCCGGCCACTGCTGGACCGAGACCCCTTCTTCCCCCCCTCCATCTCCCCCTCCCTCCCCCCATCCATCCATCCTTCCACCCCCCCACCCATCCCTTCGCTGTAGGCCCTGCCGCCCTTTCATTTCTGGTGTCACTGTCACAGGGCATCAGTGTTGGGCGAGGGGTGGGGGAGGGGAGGACTGGAGGGGAGAATGTGAGGGAAGGGGGCAGGGGTACACAGGCGGAAGGAGAGTGGAGGTGACATCGCAGTGGGAGAGCTGGAAGCACTATGGAACGCTGCCCAGAAATGGGAGAGAGGGAAAATAACTGTTGGCTGCTCAGGGGTGGCACTAAGCCCCTCCAAGGCTTCCATATGGACACTGATGACAGCACTAATTGAAAATTGACAACACAGAGACACACACACACACACAGATGTACACACACGCGAGTAGACGCACACACACATGGATGCACACATAGATGTATACATGCACACACAAGCACACAAACACAATGACACACACACAATGACACAGGCACACACGCTCCAATCTGGATACCACCAATGAGCATTTACACAACGACATAGTAAAATAAAGATATGGGCGGCTGATGTTTGTGGGAACCTTTTTTAGTTTCTGTGTTTCCCTGGGGACGAGCAATAACACCCACATCCAGATTAATTATTTATATTCATGTATTATTAATATTTTATTTCAGAATTTGGATAACAATTACGAGCTACCCATTTATTTATTAAAAACAAAAAAACTATGTTTTAAGTGAGAAGTAGGGATTGGTCTCAAGCCGAAAAAGAAAGGAAATCCACATGATCACCACAATGCCTACTTAACTCATGCTCTACCAAGGTTTTTCAGCACACAGCTTTGACCTACTACAATAGCTTCGTTGGTCTATTGTACTTCCAACTATGTGTATGCAGGTTGCTTAGGATTCAAACCTTCTCAAACAGCCTAATTCATACTCTTAGTGGACGTGCTCCCACAATAATGTGACTTGTACCACATACAAGGTAATGTATTGCATCCTTCCCACCCCACACTAAGACATTAACCCATTCCACTACCTTTTAAAGCTTTTTTTATTATATGAAAGCAAGTTTTGCTTTTATACTTACAACATCATCAGGGTTGATTGAGTGAGCTGTTTTGCCTTGTAGTAATATGGTAATGTTAAACCTTTATTTTAACAATACATGTAATTGAAAAATAAATATATTTCATAATATATTTTTGGGTCAGTAGGTACTCAACAGAACAACAGGAGGTGGTATGTTCATCACAGTCACTCATATAGACATAGACGTCTATAGAGCCTGTCTACATTCCTGATTTCTGTAACCATTAGCTTACCTGTGTAATATTGTTTTTCAAACATGGTCCTGTTTTATCAATTGCTGTGCTGAACAACGGACAGTTCATTACCTCAAATGACAATGTAGCTTAAAGTTATTGTGTATTTGTATTTATTTTTGCAATACAGATGATGATGCTACAATAATACACATTTACAATAGGACTATGTCAAAAAATACATACAGCCTAATGCTATATATATATATATATATATATATATATATATATATATATATATATATATATATATATATACAGCTTATTTGATTGTGCTCTGATTACACACAAGTGTCCAAGCCAGCAGTTTACACAGATGACTTCAGCCATATGAAAAACCTTCCATAGCCAAATATACCTAGCTAGCTAGCTACCTTCCTTTTGCTTCTCATCCAACTGGCGTTAGCTAGCTAGCTACAGCTGCTATCCTTCTACTAGCTAGCTACAGCTGCTAGCCTTCTACTAGCTAGCTGCTACTGTTGCGCAGCAACCAAGTTGCTCGACCCGGTTTTAGAACTCTGAGATTCGGCTGAAAATATGTTAGCATTGTCAGAAATGCTGCAAAAAGGTAGCACATTGTTGGTTTTTATTGGGCACAAATGTGCGCGTGAGAGCAATAAATTGCGAATATAGTAAAAACTCTTGCACCTACAAACGTATTCAGTCCAAACAGATCTAAGTCTAATGGTCCCCTTTTGATCCGACGTCTAGAATTTGAGCTAATTTTAGGAGAGAAAAAAAGTCTGACGACCCTAATGCTAACGACTTGTCAAAAATCAGGTATAGTGGTTCTTGGTAACGGACAGACGGCTAATGACGAGAGGCGGTAGTGTGTTGTGTACCTTCAATCAAGCTGACTTGCAAATTCTCATCGACATTGGTGTCATATTGGCTTAGATATGATGGTAGGGAGATTTGAATTTAACATTGTGCTTCAACCAATGCATGTGACTATAATTTGTGAGATAAATTGAGAGCAATGGGCTGTACACACACACAACCCTCCCCCCCCCCCCCCCCCCCCCCCCCACACACGCCCCCTCTGATGTCAGTGTGTCTTGGCGGCTGTACGGCCCTGTGTGACCGACCCGGTCCCCTCCTGACCCCTCCTGACCCCCTGGGCTTAATAACAGGCCATGTCCCATTCCTGGAGCCGGGGCAGATTACAGGAGAATTCACAGGACTCTAATTACAACCCCCACCAGCCCCCTTCCACCGCTCTCAGCTCCCCAGCGCACCCCAGACAACCCCTAGACCCCTCTGGCCCCCCAGCCCTCCTGGCCCCCCAGCCCTCCTGGCCCCCTCTGGCCCCCCAGCCCTCCTGGCCCCCTCTGGCCCCCCAGCCCTCCTGGCCCCCCTCTGGCCCCCCAGCCCTCCTGGCCCCCCTCTGGCCCCCCAGCCCTCCTGGCCCCCTCTGGCCCCCCAGCCCTCCTGGCCCCCCTCTGGCCCCCCAGCCCTCCTGGCCCCCTCTGGCCCCCCAGCCCTCCTGGCCCCCCTCTGGCCCCCCAGCCCTCCTGGCCCCCCTCTGGCCCCCCAGCCCTCCTGGCCCCCTCTGGCCCCCCAGCCCTCCTGCCCCCAATCTGGCCCCCCAGCCCTCCTGCCCCCAATCTGGCCCACAGTAATGCCATTCAGGTTTTAAATTAGCTGGGCGGAAACTGGCTGAGACACATGGACAGAGGCATACAATGGAACACAGAGGCACTCACAGACAGTATGTGGACGGACACAACACACACAACCACACATCCACACACACTACACACACACACACACACTACACACACACACTATACAGGCAACATCCTGAAATGGAAGCATACACTTAAAACATCCACACGCGCACAAACAGGGTAAGGAAGGAGGCGACCCCACACACACACACACACACACCACCACCGACGTGGATTAAACTGTAATACAATTCAGTCTCTGTGCTGATTAGGTTAAGATTAGGTTAAACTGGACTTCCTTGAAGGGGTCAGCTGGGTTCTCCCATTTCCTGTCGATGGCATGAGTCTCCTGGATTGCAGTGATATGTAGGAGGCTTATCAGTGTGTTTGGGCTACGGTCAGGCAGAGAGGGAGATCAGCCTTACGACACACACACACACACACTCACTTGACTTTTCTCTGTGTCTCAGTGGAGGAGCCTGTGCCAGCGGTGGGGGTTGATTTACGTTTCCTGGGCCGCCCCGGTCCTCTACGAGCAGGGCTGCGAGGCGTTTCGTCCTTCCTGTAGACACACACACACAAACACTCATGAGTACAATAAGATACTGTATTTGAGCACAGGACCGGATAAACTTGAGAAGGAAAGAGGGAATCCTTCATGAGATAGAAAGGGAGTGTGTTGTCATGGCTTCAGTTTGTTTTGTGGGCTGCTTTTAGAAATCAGTTAAAGGAGAGATTAGGAGACTAAGGAAGTATCACAACGTGAGACTAGGAGGTAGTCGTAGGTAAAGGAGAGTTTGATTTCATTAAATGTTTTAACAAGGTTTTGATTCCATAGGATAACACATGAGAGTTAAAACACTTATTTCCAAAGAGGTGACGGTAATGTATAGGAGTATAGTAAAGCACATGTTGAAGGATAAAGTATAGGAGGATAGTAACTGACACGTTGAATGATAATGTATAGGAAGATAGTAAAGGACGTGTTGAAGGATAATGTATAGGAGGATAGTAACCGACACGTTGAATGATAATGTATAGGAAGATAGTACAGGACGTGTTGAAGGATAATGTATAGGAGGATAGTAAATGACATGGTGAAGGATAATGGATAGGAGGATAGTAAAGGACATGTTGAGGGATAATGTATAGGAGGATAGTAAAGGACATGTTGAAGGATAATGTATAGGAGGATAGTAAATGACATGTTGAAGGATAATGTATAGGAGGATAGTAAAGGACATGTTGAAGGATAATGCATAGGAGGATAGTAAATGACATGTTGAAGGATAATGTATAGGAGGATAGTAAAGGACATGTTGAGGGATAATGTATAGGAGGATAGTAAAGGACATGTTGAAGGATAATGTATAGGAGGATAGTAAATGACATGTTGAAGGATAATGTATAGGAGGATAGTAAAGGACATGTTGTATCTTACTGGTGGTCATGCTTCCTCTGTAGCTTGGCTAACTCCCTCTGTTTCTCTTTGTAGCGCCTCTGGAGCTCTGCCAGTTTCACCCGCATGGCCAGCTCCGGACCCTCCATCCTCTCCATGGCACCCTTGGCCGGGCACGCCTGAACGTTCACAATACTAATCAATCAATCAAATGTATTTTATGAAGCCCCTTTTACATCATTAGTTGTCACAAAGTGCTTTACAGATACCCAGCCTAAAACCCCAAACAGCAAGAGATGCAGATGTAGACGCATAATGAAATCATGAGGGATGCCAAAGTGTTTAGAAATGCTTCATAAAGTATTATACATGCTTATAATTGCTTATAAATGCTTATACATGCTATTAAACTAACAGTCTAAAATCAAAGTGTACAGTCAACCATTTAAAATTCCTTCTAATGTATTTTTTAGAATGTACTGCATTCTGTTCTAATGCTAAATAGAACGTCAGGACACAGTATAGTTGTACTCTACCGGTTCGTGGCGAGGTGTCCAGCTGCATTTCCTGCGCAGGTTGAGGGTCTTGCGGGCCGGGCAGGGCCGCCCGGCGCCCGCCCCGCTAGCCTCCTGGGCACCCAGTTCCAAGGCACGGGCTGCTGCCAGGGTGGCAAGACTCTGGAGGTCAAAGATCAACATTTCGTCTCCTGTGGGCCGAAACACAGACTCGGTCAAAGGTCAAGGGGCACAGCACTAATCCATTGGTACTTGGTGTGCTTGAGTCTCTACAGCATCTGTATGGCAGAGACCATCTGGTCCAGGGTTTCGCCATGCAGTATAGACATCTACAGTACTGTACTGTAGGCCTGTTGCTGCTGTGGTGGAATATATTGAATACTACCGTAGCCTTTTCACACTGTGCATACTGTAACCAGGCCAGTGCAGTACAGATTGGATTGGCTCAGCTTGGCTCAGTTGAGTGAAAAGGGTATTACTGTAGGTCAGTGGCTGTGGGATATATCTACAGTACTAAATACTGTACCCTTTTTCACACCATCATGCTGATCCAAATCATACTGGGCTGGCTCAGATATCTTCTTTTCACATTGTCCTTTCAGCATGGTTCTTAAGACCATGGTGGATGTGTAACCAGGCTGGTGGAGTACAGCTCGGCTTGGCTCAGGAGTGGGAATACCGTACTGCTGTACTGATTATGGGACCTCTGTCTCTGCCCTTGGGGCCTATGTATGATGAGAGACTGTGTGAAGTTCTATCATTACAAAAAGTCACCCAGTCATGCTTACTGATGTCTTTAGCAACTCCTCAGAGCATGCGATGATATCACACAGCGAAAACAACAACACTCTAAAAATCACTTGATGATGTCCTTTTTATAGTCGGCATCTTTTGGGACCAGTTAAATGCATTAGGAAGATGGGGTAAACACAAAACATCCTTTTGCATGAACACAGAAAAAAAACTAAACGCGACTGCGGCGCTTTGAAACCGGGGAAGCTTTTAAAGGCACTTTAAAACAATGGGTTCTAATTACTGAGGCAACGTTGCAGGTCCCAACAACATCCCACTGCTTTTGTGATTACCTACACACTTGTGTGTGTGTGTGTGTGTGTGTGTACTTACACAAATGTGTGCACGTGTGTGTGTGTGTGGATCAAACAGAGGAGGGTTTTACAGAGAGGCAGAGGGTGAGTGGAGCAGGCAAGAGAGAGAGAGAATATTATAGCAGAGGTCTATGTCTGTATTGTAACAGAGGTCTGTACTGTAACAGAGGTCTGTACTGTAACAGAGGTCTGTACTGTAACAGAGGTCTGTATTGTAACAGCGGTATGTACTGTAACAGAGGTCTGTATTGTAACAGAGGTCTTTGTCTGTATTGTAACAGAGGTCTGTATTGTAACAGAGGTCTGTATTGTAACAGAGGTCTGTATTGTAAAAGAGGTCTGTATTGTAAAAGAGGTCTATGTCTGTATTGTAACAGAGGTCTGTATTGTAACAGAGGCCTGTACTGTAACAGAGGTCTGTATTGTAACAGAGGTCTGTATTGTAAAAGAGGTCTAGGTCTGTATTGTAGCAGTGGTTTGTATTGTAACAGAGGTCTGTATTGTAACAGAGGTCTGTATTGTAGCAGTGGTTTGTATTGTAACAGAGGTCTGTATTGTAACAGAGGTCTGTATTGTAAAAGAGGTCTGTATTGTAACAGAGGTCTGTATTGTAACAGAGGTCTATGTCTGTATTGTAACAGAGGTCTGTATTGTAACAGATTCCTGTACTGTAACAGAGGTCTGTATTGTAACAGAGGTCTGTATTGTAACAGAGGTCTATGTCTGTATTGTAACATAGGTCTGTATTGTAACAGAGGTCTGTATTGTAACAGAGGTCTGTATTGTAACAGAGGTCTGTATTGTAACAGAGTTCTGTATGTAAAAAGACGGTCTATGTCTGTATTGTAACAGATGGTCTGTATTGTAACAGAGGCCTGTACTTAACAGAGGTCTGTTATTGTAACAGAGATCTGTATTGTAAAAGAGGTATAGGTCTGTATTGTAGCAGTGGTTTGTATTGTAACAGAGGTCTGTATTGTAAAAGAGGTCTGTATTGTAACAGAGGTCTGTGTTGTAACAGAGGTCTATGTCTGTATTGTAACAGTGGTCTGTATTGTAAAATAGGTCTATGTCTGTATTTGTAACAGAGGTCTGTATTGTAAAAGAGGTCTAGGTCTGTATTGTAGCAGTGGTCTGTATTGTAACAAAGGTCTGTATTGTAAAAGAGGTCTAGGTCTGTATTGTAGCAGTGGTCTGTATTGTAACAAAGGTCTATATTGTAAAAGAGGTATGGGTCTGTATTGTAAAAGAGGTCTGTATTGTAACAGAGGACTGTATTGTAAAATAGGTCTAGGTCTGTATTGTAACAGAGGTCTGTATTGTAACAGAGGTTTAGGTCTGTATTGTAACAGAGGTTTAAGTCTGTATTCTAACAGAGGTCTGTATTGTAAAAGAGGTCTAGGTCTGTATTGTAGCAGAGGTCTGTATTGTAACAGAGGTCTGTATTGTAAAAGAGGTCTAGGTCTGTATTGTAGCAGTGGTCTGTATTGTAACAAAGGTCTGTATTGTAAAAGAGGTCTGGGTCTGTATTGTAAAAGAGGTCTGTATTGTAACAGAGGACTGTATTGTAAAATAGGTCTAGGTCTGTATTGTAACAGAGGTCTGTATTGTAACAGAGGTTTAGGTCTGTATTGTAACAGAGGTTTAGGTCTGTATTCTAACAGAGGTCTGTATTGTAAAATAGGTTTGGGTCTGTATTGTAGCAGAGGTCTGTATTGTAACAGAGGTCTGTATTGTAAAATAGGTTTAGGTCTGTATTGTAGCAGAGGTCTGTACTGTAACAGAAGTATGTATTGTAACAGAGGTCTGTATTGTAAAAGAGGTCTAGGTCTGTATTGTAGCAGAGGTCTGTATTGTAACAGAGGTCTGTATTGTAAAAGTGGTCTCGGTCTGTATTGTAACAGAGGTCTGTATTGTAAAAGAGGTCTAGGTCTGTATTGTAACAGAGGTCTGTATTGTAACAGAGGTCTAGGTCTGTATTGTAACAGAGGTCTGTATTGTAAAAGAGGTCTAGGTCTGTATTGTAACAGAGGTCTGTATTGTAACAGAGATCTGCTGCTTCTCTCTCTCCTGCTCTATCATTAGAGGAGTATTTTAGGAAGATGTGCTGCCTGCTACTGCTCTTAGAGAGAGAGAGATCTCTGGGGAAGAGTTGGAAGGATACACCAGAGGCTCACTGGTGGGGAAAGAGTTAGGAGGATTGTAAAGTATTTGGTCTGTAATGTCTTTTTCGTTATGTGTCGGACCCAGTAAGACTAACTGTCGCCATTGGCATCGGCTAATGGGGATCCTAATAAATGAAAAAAACATTAAGGATTCCAGCTTTAAGTGATATCACCCTAGCAGGCAAATCTGAGCAAAGCTGGTTAAAATGACGTCATAATTTCAACCTGTTTCTGATTGTAGTAATAATGACATAATTTCAGACTGTCGTCTGTCCATCCGTCTGTCCACCTGTCCGTCCGTCTGTCTGTCTGTCTTTCTGTCTGTATCTCTCTCACCTTGGCTGTCTCCTGTGTTGTGTCGGTGCTGTTGGAGCTCCAGGTCGGCCAGCTCGCTGAGCAGCTCCATGCCGTGGTGGGGGTGGCTGGGGCAGGGATGGGTGTCGCAGGCCTGGGGCTGGAGGGTGCTGGAGGCCAGCATGGGAAACGGAGGGACGTCGGCGCAGAAGGCCGCGGCGATTAGCAGCTCTAGGCTCCAGTAACTAGGCACAATGGGTTTGAGGGAGGTGGAGAGGGTGATGATAGACCGGCTGGGGCATGGAGAGGGAGAGGGAGCGGGGGAGGAGGGGGAGAGGCACAACAACTCTACTGGGTGGTTGTCACCATTAGGGGTACTCTCCTCCTGCTCCTCCTCTCCTCCCTCCTCCTCCTCAGTGTGTGCCTCCTGGTGGGGCTGGGCAGGGCAGGGAGGGTCCAGGTGGATGATGGTGGAGCCCTGCTCTGGCTCCTCCTGTTGTCCTGCCACCTCCTGCTGCTGTCCTCTCTCCACCTGGCACTTTTCTTCCACCTGGCACTTTTCTTCCTCCTGCTCCTCCAGTGTGGAGTTGGGGTCAGCTCTGTGGTTCTCCTCCTCAGAGAGGAGGAAAGGGATGGGACAGGAGGAGGTCTCACACACAGGGCTCTCCGCAGGAGGACACACTAACACCTGCTCCTCCTGCTTCTCCCTATGCTCCTGATCTGGAGGTCCACAGCTGCCTGCTGCTACTCCGGCTTCCACCTCCTCTCTCTGCACCTCCTCTTCCTCCTCCACTTCCTGGTGTGGGAGGGGCCTCACCACGGCCTGACACTCTAGCTCCACCCCCAGGCTGGAGAGAGGCTGGGGAGCATGCTCAGCAGGCTCCACCTGGACCGCCTCTAGGTCGGCTGGCTCGGCCAATCGGACATCGTGGGGGGATGGGCCGCTCCTGTAACCCATGGCGATGGCAGGGTAGGTGTATCCAGGAAGCAAGTCTATAAAAACAGAGGAAAGAGAAAAGGAGGGAGGTTTAAAAGAGGAATAAGTAACAAAAGCTTCAAAACAAAGGGCAGAAACATTTCTCAAAAGCCAGATGGATTGTCCCTATGACTTCAATTAATTTATGATTTGTAGTGCTATGTCCTCTGTTGTTGGATGATGATTTGTAGTGCTATGTCCTCTGTTGCTGTGTCAGACCTATCAGGCATTTACAGTTTTCACAGATAGACTTTGAAGGCCAGGGTTGTTAGTGTAGAACCCTTGACAGCTGCATGAGCCGTGTGTGTCTCTTACTATCTTGCACATCCCTCTTAACAGTCTATTGTCATCATACATATTTCTCATATATCCCTCAGAGAGGTTCTGCTCCAATATTCACACTAACATATCACTTAGGCTGCGTTTACACAGGCAGCCCAATTCTGATCTGATGTAAAACAAATCTGATGTGAAAAGATCTGATGTGATTGGTCAAACGACCAAATAGTGGAAAAAATATCGGAATTGGGCTGCCTATGTAAACGCAGCCAGTATGAGGCATTGGGCATGAATTATGAGTGGTATGCTAGTGTGATTATTGGAATGTAACCTGGGGATGCGTCCCAATAATTAATTCCAATCTCCTGAAGAGAGCACCTGTTCACTTCTTCCCACAAATCTAAAACCATTGGGTTGGTGGAGGCGTGGGCTAGTGGGAATGTTTCTTATACCAGTCATTGCCTTTCAAATCAGTGAAGGGAATTGAACAAGTGCACACTTTGGGAGGAAGGAGAGACAATTGGAACATAGTCAGAGTGGATGGACAGTGTGAGTTCCCTTACCAGGCTCCAGGGATTGTGGGTAATCCTGCGGGGGCTGCCCCTCTCCTCTCTTGTCCTGGGACTCCGCCCCTTTTGCCACCTGTGGGGGGGACGGGACTGATGGCCGGAGAGCGAGGGGCAGTGGCTGCCGGGCTAGGGGCGGGGCAGGGGGTGGAGGGGGTGCTCTTGGGGTGGGGGTGCAGGGAGGGGGACTGGGACTGGCAGCAGGGGGACAGGTGAGCAGTGCAGGCCCCCGGGGTGGGGGTGTTTCTGTTGGAGGAGGGGTTGTGGTAGGAGGAGTAGGGTTTGGAAGGTTTAGAACCTGGTGGCTCAGAGAGCAGCTCCTCCAGCTCCACTGAAGGCTCCTCTGGTCTCTTCTGCACCTACCCACAGATGGACAAATACACAGAATAAACACCACCTAGGACATATAGCAGGTCATTTATGTGTGAACAAAATGTTCTATTTATATGTGTGAATATATGTCTCTTCTGCACCTACCGACGGACAAATATAAATATAATGTATCATAAATATATATAGCAGGTCATTTATGTGTGAACAGAATGTTCTATTTATGTGTGAATATACTGTATGTGGCTCTGTCAATGTTGACAGTTCTCCAAGTCCCTTTGGATAAAAGTGTCAACATTGACAGTGACATTTTCAATAATGTGGCCCATTGCAGGAATCAAACCCGCAAACCTGGTGTTGCCAGCACTATTCCTTAACCACTGATCCATTGGAGTAAACCATGCGCAACTCACACAATGAGACTGAATGTAGTGATAGCCTAAAGTAAGGCATCCCATAACAACCAAAGACAAGCGCTAGAGAACATGCCCTACACTCTTAAAAAAAGGGTTCCAAAAGGGTTCTTCGGCTGTCCCCATAGGAGAACCCTTTTTGGTTCCAGGTAGAACCCTTTTGGTTCCAGGTAGAACTCTTTTGGGATCCATGTAGAACCCTCTGAGCAAAGGGTTCTACATGGAACCCAATAGGGTTCTACCTGGAACCAAAAGGGTTCTACCTGGAACCAAAAAGGGTTCTTCAAAGGGTTCTCCTATGGGGACAGCCAAAGAACCCTTTTAGATTCTAGATAGCACCTTTTTTTCTAAGAGTGTAGTGTCTACATTCAAGATGATGTAGCCAAATCTTGAGCGATCTGCTGATTGACCAAGAGGCTTCATCAGTATTGGTATGGTGTGTGTAAGGTTGCAAAATTCAGGTAACTTTCCTAAAATTCCCTGGTTTTCCCGAAATCCTGGTTGGAGGATTCATGAATTTCCTTCTTATTTCATTGTAATTCCAGGAATTAACCAACCAGTATTTCTGGAAAACCAGTGAATTCTGGGAAAGTCCCGGCATTTTGCAACCCTAGGTGTGTAGCACCGGTGTTCAGCTGAGCCAGGCATGAATTCAACCTGGATATATTGACTCTTACTGTGTGTAATGACCAACCAGGCAGTTTGCATCACCACCTATATTGAGCCCCCACTATTCCAGAGAGGCAGTCAGCAAATCCTAGGATAATATTGGGCTATGAAGCTATGAATAGGTATTGTACATGCTGTGGCCCAATGCTATTTGTGTGTGGGGAAGTATCAGCTGAATCATGACCCTGTAGTGTACTATGTAAGAAAACTGCTGGCGTTGTCATGAAAATAAGGTAGTTTGTGCGCGTGTGCATTTATGTTACTACGTGTGTGTATTCATGATAATGTGGGTGCGTGTGTGTGCACATACAGTGGGGAAAAAAAGTATTTAGTCAGCCACTATTTGTGCAAGTTCTCCCACTTAAAAAGATGAGAGAGGCCTGTAATTTTCATCATAACTACGAAAGACAAATTGAGAAAAAATAATCCAGAAAATCACATTGTAGGATTTTTTATGAATTTATTTGCAAATTATGGTGGAAAATAAGTATTTGGTCACCTACAAACAAGCAAGATTTCTGGCTCTCACAGACCTGTAACTTCTTCTTTAAGAGGCTCCTCTGTCCTCCACTCGTTACCTGTATTAATGGCATCTGTTTGAACTTGTTATCAGTATAAAAGACACCTGTCCACAACCTCAAACAGTCACACTCCAAACTCCACTATGGCCATGACCAAAGAGCTGACAAAGGACACCAGAAACAAAATTGTAGACCTGCACCAGGCTGGGAAGACTGAATCTGCAATAGGTAAGCAGCTTGGTTTGAAGAAATCAACTGTGGGAGCAATTATTAGGAAATGGAAGACATACAAGACCACTGATAATCTCCCTCGATCTGGGGCTCCACGCAAGATCTCACCCCGTAGGGTCAAAATGATCACAAGAACGGTGAGCAAAAATCCCAGAAACACACGGGGGGACCTAGTGAATGACCTGCAGAGAGCTGGGACCAAAGTAACAAAGCCTACCATCAGTAACACACTACGCCGCCAGGGACTCAAATCCTGCAGTGCAAGACGTGTCCGCCTGCTTAAGCCAGTACATGTCCAGGCCTGTCTGAAGTTTGCTAGAGTGCATTTGGATGATCCAGAAGAGGATTGGGAGAATGTCATATGGTCAGATGAAACCTAAATAGAACTTTTTGGTAAAAACTCAACTCGTCGTGTTTGGAGGACAAAGAATGCTGAGTTGCATCCAAAGAACACCATACCTACTGTGAAGTTATGGGGGTGGAAACATCATGCTTTGGGGCTGTTTTTCTGCAAAGGGACCAGGACGACTGATCTGTGTAAAGGAACGAATGAATGGGGCCATGTATCGTGAGATTTTGAGTGAAAACCTCCTTCCATCAGCAAGGGCATTGAAGATGAAACGTGGCTGGGTCTTTCAGCATGACAATGATCCCAAACACACCGCCCGGGCAATGAAGGAGTGGCTTCGTAAGAAGCATTTCAAGGTCCTGGAGTGGCCTAGCCAGTCTCCAGATCTCAACCCCATAGAAAATCTTTGGAGGGAGTTGAACGTCTGTGTTGCCCAGCGACAGCCCCAAAACATCACTGCTCTAGAGGAGATCTGCATGGAGGAATGGGCCAAAATACCAGCAACAGTGTGTGAAAACCTTGTGAAGACTTACAGAAAACGTTTGACCTGTGTCATTGCCAACAAAGGGTATATAACAAAGTATTGAGAAACTTTTGTTATTGACCAAATACTTATTTTCCACCATAATTTGCAAATAAATTCATTAAAAATCCTACAATGTGATTTTCTGGATTTTTTTTCCTCATTTTGTCTGTCATAGTTGACGTGTACCTATGATGAAAATTACAGGCCTCTCTCATCTTTTTAAGTGGGAGAACTTGCACAATTGGTGGCTGACTAAATACTTTTTTTCCCCACTGTACGTGTGGGTATGCATCCGTGCGTACGCATCCGTGCGTACTTGTGTTTGTTTGTGTGTATGTATGTATTCATGTTAATCTGTGTCGCCAGTATGCCACCCACCTGGGTGTGGTTGGGTCTGTGTTGGAGCTCCATGGTCTGTGCTGTCCTGTGGTGCTGCTGGGGCTGGGGGTGGGGTGGGGGGGTGGGGGTGTGACTGGTGACTCTGTTGGTGCTGATGCTGATGCTGCAGATGATGATGCTGTTGATGCTGCTGGAGAGCGTACAGCTCCTGTTGCCGTAGAAACTGCGAGCGGGAGTACACAGCGGGGTGTTGTGGGTGTATGTGGGAGGAGGGCCCTCGGGCTCCGTACACAGGGGGCCACAGCCCAGGCTGCTCCATCACATCTAATGAGAGAGAGAGGAGTGGATCAGAGGAGCCCACACACACACATACACATACACACACACACAAATGCATTCATGCATATGTATATGTATAAGTATACATACACACGTCCCAGCTATCACATAACGTTCTGAGAACCACATGTTTCTTAGAGCATGGTGACAGCATAGTTGTCCTATGGTTATTTTGCATACAACCTTCCCACAACTTTCTGGGAATAGTGCAGGATACCCAGCTAGCACATAACGTTCTGAGAACCATATGTTTCTTAGGTGGGAATTTCAGTACTTCAGCATAACATTTCCTACAGGTTTCCTAATGGTTCTATATAAAGCAATGTTCTCAAATTGTTCAGAGAATGTTAAGAAGCAATGTACTTCTGTGAGAATTTCAGTACTTTAGCATCATGTTTTCTACAGGTTTCCTCATGGTTCTATTTAAAGTAATGTTCTCAGAACATTAAAAACTATAAAAATTACAAGAAAACACTAGTAACATTCTAAGAATGTTATTTAAAAACAAATACATTCCGTTCTCAGCGTCAACAAAACTCTCTCTATCCTCCACCTTGTTAAGTGTGTTCAGGTGTGTTGGCCATGCCCACTAATTGGCCACACCTGATCTTAATTAGTGCTTGTTTCCTTTGATATGGGGTTTGTTTGATAGACTAAAATGAGCATCTTTGTATGAATAAAAAAAAAAACATGGCATGCTAGCGCCATCCTGGGGGGCACAGTGAACTAATTCCATAGAGAACAGAAGATCATAGGTTCGAATCTCACTGACACCGTGCCATAATAAACAATAAATATGCTTGCATGATTAATGCCTAAGCAAATTAATCAAATGAGTTCAAAACAGTTAACCTAAGCTAACAGTGTTATTAAAAGTCTTATTGAAACATGTTCTCAGAACGTTATTTAATTACCTTCAAATAACCTATAATTTCCATTCTCAGAATGTTAATAAAACCTAATGGAACCATAGTAAAACGTTCTCAGAACCTAAAAATGAACGCTCCCAGAAGAGGCTAAATGTTCATTTCCATTCTCAGAACGTTTAAATTTTTTTCCAGTTTACCGGTCAGGAAACTTATGGTGTCGTTCCCAGAACCAATGGGAAACCAAAAACATACATTCCCACAACTTCCAAGGAACCAAATGTGCTAGCTGGGGTACACCCACGCATGCATACACATGCACACGCAACCCCCCCCCCCCCCCCCCCCCCACACACACACACACACACACACACACACACACACACACACACACACACACACCAACATCAACATCAACATCAACACCATGGGGGGCAAGGAGCTAAGTTGTACATGAATGTATATCTCTCAGAAAGTATAACCCAGACATGTACATGTATCTGTATGTCTCAATGCTGGAACACCAGTACTGCCATCTCTCACACAAAAGCAAAGCCCTCACTTACACACAAGATAACACACACTGATCACATCCCTCGAACAAAGACTGCTGCTTTATGCTGAGAACATGGTCACCTAAACAGCAGCACTCCCACGCTCTCTCTCTCTCTCCCTCCTCTCTATATCTCTTTCCCCCCTCTCTCTCTCCCCCTCTCTCTCTTTCTCTCCTCTCTCGATCTCTCTCTCCCTCCTCTCTCTCTCTCTCTCCCTCCCTCCTACCTGAATAGAATGAATTCTCATAGGAGCTGTCCTGAGAATACACTGGAATGTGGGAGTCATGACTATAATGAGATACTACATGATGATGATAACAGAGAGCCACTGACCAGTAACCAAAGTACTGTCCCCTTGGAGCGATCGACCCTGCAGTGCTCCCTAAACATTCCCCCACCCATCCAGCCTAGCATCCTCCAGCCCGCTCTCCAGGCCACATGAGTAGTCTGTGGACCAGCAGGGATGCTAGTTCCCATGTTCAGGAGGAGCATAGCTCAGCCGTTCCCCTGATGAGTCTTTTTTACAGACCAGAGAGGAATGCTGTGTGTGTGGACTGCGAATCTGGGTAGAGGGCAGCTGAGCACATTGACTATGACACATGGAGCTCAGATTTGGGGATTCAGATTCCCAGGCCTTCTTCTCCCTCTCTCTCTCTCTCTCTCTCTCTCTCTCTCTCTCTCTCTCTCTCTCTCTCCCTTCTTCCCCCTTCTCTCTCCCCCCCTCACTCTTTCTCTCCTTCTCTCTCTCCCTCTCTTTTTCTATCCCTCTCTCTCTCCTCTCTCTCCAACTCAATGTGTTTCCTCCCCTTCCATATTTCACAGTACACTCATTAATGTGCATGTCCAGTCTGATCCTCCCTTCCACCCCCTCAGCCCCCCTGACGCACCATGGAACCTTTGTTCTGAAACATTAACCCGGCTAAGCTAATCTTTCCCCGGGGAAGGGTTTCGTGGATGCACTTCCCCTCTCCTCTACAACTCCTGCGGAGCGCGGAAGGAAACACGGCACTGAGGATGGAGAGCTAATTAAATTTCACAGCCTGTTTGCTGAATAAGGCCTGCTTGTATAGATGTAGAGCAGAAGAGAGCACTGCTTTACTTTCTTCCTCTGTGGTGTGTGTGTGTGTGTGTGTGTGTGTGTGTGTGTGTGTGTGTGTGTGTGTGTGTGTGTGTGTCTGTGTGTGTGTGTGTGTGTGTGTGTGTGTGTGTGTGTGTGTGTGTGTGTGTGTGTGTGTGTGTGTGTGTGTGTGTGTGTGTGTGTGTGTGCGTGCGTGTGCGTGTGCGTGTGTACACATATGTTTTTGGAAGCACACCCTGACCCATCCAGGAGCCAGCCCTGCGGGGGACAGAACAGGCGGTGAGTAGAAACTGGGATGAGTATTCTCTGTGTGTGTGTGTGTGTTTTGTACGTGCAAGCTTATATGTGTGTGTGCGTGTGTGTGCGTGCATGCCTGTGTGTGTGTTTTCTATGTGGATGTGTATATGTGTGTGGGTGTTGGTTTGTGTGTGAGACAGCTGTTAACAGAAAGCTCATACTAATGCAACCAACAAATAAAGGAAACGTTGCAGTAAAACCATTGGATGGAAAATAGAAGCACCAGTAGAAAACAACAGACAGGGACTGTAATAAGATAATAAAATGAACCACAGTTCAAGAGGTCAAGGTTGAGGGTAGGGGTTAAGGGGTAATGGTAGAGTTTAAGGGGTAATGGGTTAAGGGTAGGGTTAAGGGGTAAGGGGTAAGGGGTAATGGTTAAGGGTAGGGGTAAGGGGTAAGGGGTAAGGGTAGGGTTAAGGGGTAAGGGGTAAGGGGTAATGGTTAAGGGTAGGGGTAAGGGGTAAGGGGTAAGGGTAGGGTTAATGGTTAAGGGTAGGGGTAAGGGGTAGGGTGGGTTAAGGGTGTAATGGGGTAATGGGGTAACTAAGTAAGGATGTAGAGTGACATATGCAAGAGGAGAAAACCATTGAGAAAAACATACTGAGAAAACACACTGAGAAAACACACTGAGAAACACATTGAGAAAAACACATTGAGATAAACAGTGAGGCTCACCCAGGTGATGTGTGGCAGGGTGGGCAGCAGGCTCTGTGGGTAGCACCACCAGCTGGGTAGACGGGTCCTGGGGCAGAGGCAGCACAGGCTGTAGAGACCCTGGCATGGCTGCAGAGAAACCTGGGGTGAGGTTCTGGTGAAGGGCTGAGTGGCCGATTCCTGCAACATCAGAAAGATATTACGACAGATTCAGTAGCAATGTGTAATTCATTAACAATACAGCTATACTGGAACACAGCTTTCAAAGGCAGCAACAGGACATTATATAGTAAGATGAAGAATGATCCAGAATACATCTGTAGGCCCGTCTTATCTCTTTTTCCATGATTGTTTTATATATATTCTATCTTTATTGAGGCATTACAATTGATTTATAGTGCGACACCAACACTTTGGTTATTATAGCAATAAGAGCTTTCTCACCGTAGGAGTGGCTTGTCATCCAGATGGAGGGGCTTCCAGTGCTTGGCATCCAATGGTGGTGGGCCGAGTGGGCGTGTGCGTGTGCAGAGGGGTCTCCTAATTGGCCAGATTGTAGAGAAGTCCCACCCGGCACCATGAGGTGAGAGGTGATGTCACCGTGACAGCTGTTGGACGGATGGATCCTTGTGAATTCCACTGGATCCTTATTATCCCTAAGATAGGACCATTGAGAGAGAAATAAGGAGACAGAAAACACAGAATAATATAGAGGAGAAAGGTGGGAGTAGAGGAGAAAGGTGGGAATAGAGGAGAAAGGTGGGAGTAGAGGGGGAAGGTGGGAGTAGAGGAGAAAGGTTGGGAGTTAGAGGGGAGGAAGGTGGGAGTGGAGGGGGAAGGTCGGGAGTAGAGGGGGGAAGGTGGGAGTGGGAGGGGGAAGGTTGGAGTAGAGGAGAAAGGTTTGGGAATATAGAGGAGCAAGGTGGGGAGTTAGAGGGGGAAAGGTGGTTTGGGTAGAGAAAGAAGGTGGGATGGAGGGGGGAGGCGGTGGGATTGGAGGGGGAAGGTAGGAGGGAGGGGGGAGTTGAAGTTGGGAAGTTAGAGGGGGGAAGGTTGGGAGGTTGGCAGTGGAGGAGGAAAGGTTGGGAGTAAGTAAGGAGGGAAGGGTGGGGAGTGGCAGGGGGCGAAGGTTGGCCCACGTAGAGGAGGCGAGGAAAGTTGGGAGTGGAGGGGGGGATAAGGTGGGAACTAGAGGAGGAAGAGGGGACAGCTAGAGGGAAGGGGAAAGAATATGTGGGAAGGTGGAGGGGGAAGGTGTGAGAGTAGAGGAGGGAACGGTGGGAACTGTAGAGGAGGAAGGTGGGAAGTGGAGGGGGAAGGGGGAATAGAGGAGGGAAGGTGGGAAGTAGAAGGGGGGGGAATGTGGGAGTGGAGGGGGAAGGTGGCGGTAGTAGAAGGGGGGGGAGGGGAAGGTAGGAGTGGAGGAGGAATGGTAGCAATACGAGGAGGAAGGTGGGAGTAGAGGGGGAAGGTGGGAGTGGAGGAGGAAGGTGGGAGTAGAGGGGGAAGGTGGGGAGTGGAGAGGAAGGTGACGGAGTTAGAGGAAGGTGGGAGTAGAGGAGGAAGGTGGGAGTAGAGGAGGAAGGTGGGAGTAGAGGAGGAAAGGTGGGAGTAGAGGAGGAGGGTGGGAGTAGAGGAGAAAGGTGGGAGTGGAGGGGGAAGGTGAGAGGGGAGGAGGAAGGGGAAAGGGGTAGAGGGGAATTGGAAGTGGAGGGGGGGGGGAAGGGGGAAATAGAGGAGGAAGGGGGAAGGAGAGGAAAAGGGGGGTGGAGGGGGAAGGGGGGAGTAGAGAGGAAGGTAGGAGAAAGGGGGAGAAAAAAAGGGGGGGGAGTGGAGGGGGGGGGGGTGGGGTGGAGGGGGAAGGTGGAGAGAGGAAAAAAGGTGAGAGTAGAGGAAGAAAGGGGAGGGAGGGGGAAGGGGGAAAGTGGGGGGGAAGGGGGGAAGTTGGGGGAGGGGGAAGGGGGGGGAATAGAGGAGGAAGGTGGGAGGGGGGGGGAAGGTGGGAGAGAAAAGGGAAAGGGGGAGTAGAGGAGAAAGGGGGGATGGAGGGGGAGGGTGGGAAGAGAGGGGAAAGGTGGGAGTGGGGGGAAGGGGAAAAGGGGGAAAATTTGAAGGGGGAAAGGGGGGGGGGGAAGGGGGAAAGGTTGGGAGTAGAGGATGAAGGTGGGGGGAGGGGGAAGGTAGGATAGAGGGGAAAAGGGTTGAGGTGGAGGGGGAAGGGGGGAAAGAGGAGGAAGGGGGGGGGAGGGGGGGAGGGGGAAAGGGGGAGTGAGGGGAAGGTGGGAGTAGAGGAGAAAGGGGGGGGAGTGGGGGGGAAGGAGGAGTAGGGGGGGAAGTGGGAGTGGAGGGGGAAGGGTGGGAGTAGGGGGGAAGGGGGGATGGGGGGAGGAAGGTAGGAAAGAGGAGGAAGGTGGGAGTAGAGGGGGGAAGGTGGGGAGTGGAGGGGGAAGGTGGGAGTAGAGGGGGGGAAGGGTGGGAGTGGAGGAGGAAGGTCGGAGTAGAGGAAGGTGGGAGTAGAGGAGGAGGTGGGGAGTAGGAGGAGGAAGGTGGGGAGTAGAGGAGAAAGGTGGGAGTAGAGGAGGAGGGTGGGGAGTAGTAGTAGAGGAGAAAGGTGGGAGTGGAGGGGGAAGGTGGGAGTAGAGGAGGAAGGTGGGAGTAGAGGAAGAAGGTGAGAGTAGAGGAAGAAGGTGGGAGTGGAGGGGGAAGGTGGGAGTAGAGGAGGAAGTTGGAGTGGAGGGGGAAGGTGGGAATAGAGGAGGAAGGTGGGAGTGGAGGGGGAAGGTGGGAGTAGAGGAGGAAGGTGGGAGTAGAGGAGAAAGGTGGGAGTGGAGGGGGAAGGTGGGAGTAGAGGAGGAAGGTGGGAGTGGAGGGGGGAGGTGGGCGTAGAGGGGGAAGGTGGGAGTAGAGGATGAAGGTGGGAATAGAGGAGGAAAGTGGGAGTGGAGGGGGAAGGTGGGAGTAGAGGAGGAAGGTGGGAGTGGAGGGGGAAGGTGGGAATAGAGGAGGAAGGTGGGGGAATAAGGATTGGAAGTGTGTGAGTAGAGGAGGGAAGGTGGGAGTGAGGGAGGAAGGTTGGGAATAGAGGAGGAAGGTGTGAGTAGAGGAGGAAGGTGGAGTGGAGGGGGAAGGTGGGAATAGAGAAGGAAGGTGGGAGTAGAGAAGGAAGGTGGGAGTTGGAGGGGGAAAGTGGGAGTAGAGGAGGAAGGTGGGAGAGTAGGAGGAGGAAGGTAGGAGTGGAGGGGGAAGGTGGGAGTAGAGGAGGAAGGTGATAGTGGAGGGGGAAGGTAGGAGTAGAGGAGGAAGGTGGAGAGGAGGAGGAAGGTGGGAGTAGAGGGGGAAGGTAGGAGTGGAGGGGGAAGGTGGGAGTTGAGAAGGAGGGCTCTAATTGAGAAGATCCCAATACGCATGGGAAAGGGGAGATGTACAATGGTCAAAGAAAACACAACTGGAGACATTTTTTAAAACCCTTTTTTTGGCCCTACACGTTACGGGGTAGGAGTGGTTGCTAACTAACTGTTAACAACTTTAACTGTGGGGTGAAACAACCCTTAATGTTTTGGCACCGCACCCCCAGCAACAAACAAAAACGCTGCCCCCAAAACTGGTTAGGGTGTTTTCCAGAAAGTATGTTTACGGGTGCTGTTTGAATATCCTTTTCCAAAAACGATGGAGGATTGGTAGGGTTTGGTTTGTTTTGTTGATCAGGGGGTTGCCCAGCTGTGTTTTATGATGTCAATTGGAGAAGTAAAATGAGTTTACTGATGTGGAATTTGTCTGGTTCCCGGCCCGGCAGACCAAACCGCTTGCATTATCCTCCCTTCCTCCTCCCATGGGGGGGGTCGAGGGGTTTTGGAAGGGGGGGAGGAAAGGGGGGGCCCCTTTAGGAAGACAATAAAGTTAGGGTAGTCTTCACAACTATTCCCCTGATGAGCCCTAACCCCCAACACTCAGTCTCTGTACCTCACAAATCTCTATCTAAAACTAACCTTAAGCGTGGAATCTCTACCTAACCCTAACCTTAAGGGTGGAATCTCTTCCTAACTCTAACCTTAAGGGTGGAATCTCTACCTAACCCTAACCTTAAGGGTGGAATCTCTTTCTAACTCTAACCTTAAGGGTGGATTCTCTACCTAACTCTAACCTTAAGGGTGGAATATCTTCCTAACTCTAACCATAAGGGTGGATTCTCTACCTAACTCTAACCTTAAGGGTGGAATCTCTACCTAACCCTGACTTTAAGGGTGGAATCTCTTCCTAACCCTAACCTTAAGGGTGGAATCTCTTTCTAACTCTAACCTTAAGGGTGGATTCTCTACCTAACTCTAACCTTAAGGGTGGAATCTCTATCTAACCCTAACCTTAAGGGTGGAATCTCTTCCTAACTCCTAACCTTAAGGGTGGAATCTCTTCCTAACTCTAACCTTAAGTTCTCAGACACACCAGTAGTGTTTGCTGGCCCAGAGTACTTAGCACCTCTGAATGTGATTTGCAAACCGAGTGCGCACCGATTTTACATGTATAGTTGTGTGAAATTTGTTGGCAGTCAGACATCTACAGCGGGTGATCACTAAAACACAGCGCGCTGAACGAACACTAGATCACATTTCAAGTGCAATGTGTGCGCGCCTTTTACAGTGGAATCTCAACCTAACCCTGACCTTAAAAGTGGAATCTCTACCTAACCCTAACTCCCAGGGAACCCTAACTCCCAGGGAACCCTAACTCCCAGGCAACCCTAACTCCCAGGGAACTCTAACTCCCTTACTTCCTACAAGGGTTGCAAAATTCCGGTAACTTTCCCAAATTCCCAGGTTTTCCAGAAATCCTGCTTGGAAGTTTCCTGGAATTACAAGGGAATTATCAGGAAAAGAAAAAAATTCTGGGAATTCCTCCAATCCGGGGAAATTCTGGAAAAAAAATGCGGAATACTCTTGAGAAAAAACACTGGAATTTTGCAACCCTAATCTCTACCTAACTAGGTTTATACCTTGACTCCACCCTGCTCTGCCTCACTCTTTGGCCAAATCGTGACGCGCCACCCTCCACCAAGGGCGGCGATGCCGGCGACATGCCGGCTCCGCGGAGCCTCTGCGACGCTCGCGCTCCATCCCAGACCCAGGAACCAGAGTAGAATCTGATGCAGTCTTCTATCTCTCAAACTCTCTCTCCATCCCAACCAATACAAATTACAGATATCTACTGGCCTGCCTCTATCTCTAGTCATCTATAGAGAGAGAGTCGATGATAGAGATCGTATAGGTTTCATCACGCGTCTAGATATGACTATCTATCTCTATCAATCTAGACTCTCGTCTCTACGCTCTCGATCTTCTCTCGGCTCTCTCTCTACTCTATCTCTCTCTATCTCTCTCTCTCTCTCTCTCTCTCTCTCTCTCTCTCTCTCTCTCAACTATACCCACTACAGATCTACTGCCACAGACTCATGTACTCCTCTCTTTTCCTCCCAGTGCAGGCCTTTAACTGTTTAGTCAAATAAAGCTGTTTCTACTTTTGCCTTTGGCAAAGCCCGCTGTTTATTTTTCATCAGCGAGGTCTTCCAAAGGTCGTAGATAAATAATCTCTGCTCAGTTCCCCTGCTCCTTCTGTTTATTTAAGCAAGCGACCCCAAGGGCCCGGAGGTTACCCCCGCACCTTTCATGGAGGGGTGTACCCGCCCCTGCCGGCTGTTGGGGAGGGCGTCCACCGGGCGACAGGACGGCTCCCTCTGCCTCGCCACGGCGACTGCGATGCCCACAGGCGGCTGGCGCACCTCTCCCTCGCCGTGACCCGCCGCCTCGCCCACCTCCCGGCCACGCCCCCCACAGTCAGAGCGCTCGCCGTCATTGGCCGGGCCCTTCCTGGTGGGCAGGGCCTGTTGTTGTTTGCTGCCTTGCAGGGTGCAGCTAACCCCGGGGTTGCCACCTCCAGGACCACCAGGGCCACCGGATTTGAGGCTCCCCAGGCCTCCGAAGGGACTCTTCTGGGAGAGGAGCAGGGGCTGCTGCTGGGTGCTGTACTTCAGAAGGCTCTTCATGGCACTGCTCTCCCCCATGGGCCTGTGAGGCAACTTGGGGGTCCTGCTGCTGCTGAGAGGGGGCTGGGGGTGGAGGTGGCTGGGGCTGGGGAGAAGGATGAGGAGGGAGGCCCATACCTTGCCCTGGTTGTTGCTGGGGCTGTTGCCTGCCACCACCACCACCTCCCCCACTGAGAGACTCCATGTAGGCCTTACGCTGCTGCTCCTCCTCTGCAGGGTGGACATGGTGAGGCCTCATGGCCCAGGGGGGAACCGGGGGCTGCTGGGGGTGATGCTTCTGCCCCTGCCCACTGTTGCTGTAGCCGTACGGGGACATCTCCATCTCCAGCTTCCTGTTCAGGTCCTGGTCCTGGTTCTGTTTGTTGCTCTGGTTCAGCTCTGCTGCTGGGGCGTCCGGGCCAGGCCCGCCGTGCTGCTGGTGGCGGATACGGGCCACCTTCTGACCATCTCTCTGTAAGGAACAGCTCCCACCTCCCACCGCCTGCACCTCCCCGACCTCCCAGGGGTGAGGCGTTGGGCAGGGGGCCCGGGAGGGAGCAGTCCCTGTAGGGGGAGGTGTTGACTGAGTGGGGGAGGGAGTGTCCGGCCTTGGCTCCCTGGGGAAGAGAGGGCCGGAACACATCGGTGGTGTCCACTCCCACGCTATTGATGCACTCGACGCTGCGGGAACGCACGGCTTGGTGCTGCTGGGGTTGAGGCTGCTGCTGCTGGGGCTGAGGCTGCTGGGGCTGGGGTTGTTGGGGCTGAGGCTGCTGGGGCTGGGGTTGTTGGGGCTGGTGCTGCTGTGGCTGGGGCTGCTGGGGATGGTGGTGGTGACTCTGCTGCTGCATCCAGTCCGGGGCCTTCTCAGCCTTTCTGTATGTGGATGCTGCTGTTGTTGCTGTTTCCTGTGCCAGTTACTGGGGGGCCCCCCTCCCCCACTCTTCTCCATAGCCTTGTCCTTGGCACTGCCGCCCCCACCCACCAACCCCTGGCAGTCGGTTGGTGTGCCCATCTGGAAGGGTTGCCCGCTGGACTTGTCCCCCTGGTGTCCTCCCCCTACAGATGGTATGAACGTGGGCCCTGTCACTTTGGGGTCTCGCCCCCCTCCCCCCCCCGCTGGACGGCCCTCCCCTCTCGTGCGGCGAGGGGTTGGTTAGAGGGGCAGGCGGAGGCGGGCAGAAGAAGTCCGGGTGGTGGTGTGTGTGGGGGTGTGAGTGGTGGGGGTGATGGGGATGGCTGGGGTGGAGCTGAAGGCAGTGGAAACCCCCCGGATGGGGGTGAGGGTGGTGGTGGGGGTGGAGGTGGGGGTGTCCTCCCCCACCGGCTGAACCCATTTGCAGGGGCGGCGCCACAGAGTAGGGCAGGGCGTGGTGGAGCATCTGGCCCCTCCCCTCCAGACAGTCCGAAGGCTGCTCGCTGATCCTCATCTCGCCGCTCACCCCCTCCTTGGTGCAGCGGACGTTCCCCCCACCCCCCATGTGTCTGTGGCTGACCTGTGTCTGAGCTCCCCTGCTCCCCACCACCTCCCCCCCATAGCTAGTCATGGAAGCCTTGGCCCCACCCGTCCCAGAGTCCCCCCCGTTCTGCATCTTTCCGTTGAGCAGGCAGGCGCTGAGGGGTCTGGCCATACCCATGGCCTGTTGGTGCTCCTTGTGCTCCATGACCAGGGCGGCCTTGTGCCTCTCCAGGGCTCTGCTATTGACCTCCTCCAGGGAGACCGGGTGCTGGGGGTACTGGGGGTGCTGCTGGTGGGGGTGGGGCTGTGTGTGACCAGGGTGTGGGTGGTGGTGGTGTGGATGTGAGGGCTGGGGGTGGTGGCTGTGGTGCTGCTGTCGCTCCTTGGCCTCCTGTTTGCTGCTGGGCCTCTCCTTGTCCTTGGTGCTGGGGACCACCCCTCTCTCGACGGACCCCTCCTTCAGGCCCTTGTGTAGGCTGACTCCGCCCCCTGGGTCCATGTCCCGACTGCAGGAGCCCTGTGGGTGCCCCGGCCCCGCCCTGGAGATGGGCGGAAGGCCGTGATTGGCTGAGATGAGAGGTGGCTGGGACGGAAGGCTTCTTAGATAGAAGTTCTCTGTAAGATATAAAAGTTCCAAATTATATAAATGTCAATGATATATACTGAACAAAAATATAAACGCAACATGTAAAGTGTTGGTCCCATGTTTCATGAGCTGAAATAAAAGATCCCAGAAATGTTCTAGACACACAAAAAGTATATTTCTCTCAATTGTTGTGCACAAATTTGTTTACATCCCTGTTAGTGAACAAGATAATCCATCCATCTGACAGGAGTGGCATATCAAGAAGCTGATTAAACAGCATGATCATTACACAGGTGCACCTTGTGCTGGGGACAATAAAAGGCCACTCTAAAATGTGCAGTTTTATCACACAACACAATCCCACAGATGTCTCAAGTTTTGAGGGAGAGTGCAATTGGCATGCTGACTGCAGGAATGTCCACCAGAGCTGCTGCCAGATAATTGAATGTTTGTTTCTCTACCATAAGCTGCCTCCAACGTCGTTTTAGAGAATTTGGCAGTACGTCCAACCGGCCTCACAACCGCAGACCACGTGTAACCACGCCAGCCCAGGTCCTCCACATCCGGCTTCTACACCTGCGGGATCTTCTGAGACCAGCCACCCGGACAGCTGAACAAGTTTTATTTCTGTCTGTAATAAATCCCTTTTGTGGGGAAAAACTAATTCTGACTGGGTGGGCCTGGCTCCCAAGTGGGTGGGCCTATGCCCTCCCAGGCCCATCCATGGCTGCGAAACTTGCCCATTCATGTGAAATCCATAGATTAGGGCCTAATTTATTTATTTCAATTGACTGATTTCCTTATATGAACTGTAACTCAGTAAAATCGTTCAAATTGTTGCATGTTGCATTTATATTTCTGTTCAGTATAAAAAAAACTGACTCCTAAAGGGGAAGTTCAGGATTTTAGAAATTGGTGTTAGATGCTTCCTCACCCTGAAAGTAGTCAATGGGACAGGAGAAAGTGTAATTCATGGTTTGTTTTTCTTCAAACAGCCACTTTAGCCACCACTAGCTCACACATTAATGGCGAATGTGTGCAACTGTTAAAACGTCATGACCAAATCTACTGAAATCAACTGAAGTCAACTCCATATCTGGTTTGATGTTACTTAGAGGTGATTTGGCCTTTAAAAATGTTTTCACTTCCATTGACTGTTAGCTAGTAGTGGCTAAAGTTAGCTTAAGTTTATAGTGGCTGTTTAATAGAAAACCAAACCAAGGATTTCCGTTTTTACTAGCCCATAGACTACTTTCAGGGTGAGGAAACATCAAGTTGTAAAATCCTGAACTTCCCCTTTAAAAAACATCCATTGGCCAACCAGGCAGCAAATCTAAAAGACAGGATTACATTATTACATTTAAGGTAATATCCCTGTGGGCATCGACATAGCTCGCAATATCCATTATCCAATTACATCATACTTTGTTGTGTTCAATTGGATTTCAATATCTTATTTTCGTCTGATTTCATTTTAATTTGTTTGCCGACTCACCTTTTTGGGTGTCATAGAAACGGTGCTGCCCGTAGAGGACGCCGCTGTTGGCATGGTGATCCAAGTGGCTCATGGGAAGGAAGGTATGGGCGAGACTCCCTGAGAATCGAGGATACCCCGGGGCTGCTGGGAGGGAGAGCGAGAAAGAGAGAGAAAAAGAGAATGATGGAGAGAGAGGGGGGAAAGAGAGAGGGAGAGAGAGAGACTGATAAGACCTGACAGCAGCCACTGAGTTGGAGTTGTCCCTTCATGACTGTGGAAACGATATAATCCTTCAGGTCCAATGCAGCTGGTGTTGTATATACACTAATAACTATACAGCCTCGGCTTGTCATATTTCCTACTTGGGTTTTGAATGCAAACAATAGAAGACAATCTCTGTCTTGGGGATTGCGGTAATGGAGGAAATTTGTCCTCTAAACATATGGCTGTCTCTCTCTGAGCTGAGGAAGCTAGATGCTCCTTCCGTCTGAAGCAAGAGATAACACAGGCCCCAATTTTAAAGGGCCAATCTGTGATATTTACATTGGATTGAAGGCCTCTATCTACACTGACTGGCTGTTGCCCTTCGATGCCCCTTTCTAGGGTTCAAAGGTCAATTTGACTGGAGACCTTTAAGACTCGGCACCTGGTTCTATGACAACAAGCCCATCTGGAGAATATTTACACTATCTCAATCTACCAGAATTAGATTTAAAACACAAAGGACTTTGAAGGTAGAGAAAGAAGGAAAGAAAGAAGGAGAGAGAGAAGGAGACAGAGAAGGAGAGAAAGAAGGAGAGAGAGAAGGAGACAGAGAAGGAGAGAAAGCAATTGGAGAGATAGACTATACTAAAGCCTTTAGACAATGAAAACAGCCACCGCTCTAACAACATCTTCTTCACGCATCAGAGACCCATCACAGCTCTGTCAGAGGCTGTTACCTCACTTGGAAGTTTATCCGATTCATAATCAACGTTAGATTTTAATATACTGTATCTATTTCACGCTGGCTCAAGCAACAGAGGGATAGAACTGAATCGAACTAAATAGTCATACTAACGGTGGGTAAAACGTCCATGAAATGTTCCAGACATTTAAAAAGCATTGTCATTTAGAAGAAGGATAAAAAAAATAAAAAAAACATATAAATATACATTTAAAGCAAATAATAGTCTATCCAAAATGGGGTGTTATGCAATGCTGGCCATGAAAACCCCCCAGATGTATGGCCAAGAGAGTAAGCGAGGGAGGGAGGGGGCGGGGGGGGTAGAGGTACAAGCTAAATGAAAGACAGACGTATTGGCAAGTGTTGGCAAGTGTGTTCTATGTTCAGGAAAACAATGAGCAGGTGCAGTTCATTCTAGAGCGGTGTGGGGGGGTACTGTATGTGTGTGTACTGTATGTGTGTGTGTGTGTAGGTGGGTGTGTACTGTATGTGTGTGTCCTGTATGTGTGTGTGTGTGTAGGTGGGTGTGTACTGTATGTGTGTGTACTGTATGTGTGGGTACTGTATGTGTGTGTACTGTATGTGTGTGTACTGTATGTGTGTGTACTGTATGTGTGGGTACTGTATGTGTGGGTACTGTATGCCTGTGTGTGTGTGTGGGTGTTTACTGTATGTGTGTGTACTGTATGTGTGTGTACTGTATGTGTGGGTACTGTGTGGGTACTGTATGTGTGTGTACTGTATGTGTGGGTACTGTGTGGGTACTGTATGTGTGTGTACTGTATGTGTGGGTACTGTATGTGTGGGTACTGTATGTGTGTGTACTGTATGTGTGTGTACTGTATGTGTGTGTACTGTATGTGTGTGTACTGTATGTGTGGGTACTGTGTGGGTACTGTATGTGTGTGTACTGTATGTGTGTGTACTGTATGTGTGGGTACTGTGTGGGTACTGTATGTGTATGTACTGTATGTGTGTGTACTGTATGCCTGTGTGTGTGTGTGTGGGTGTGTGTGCATCCGTTTGTGCCCCACATTTTTTTATGGCGGCTTAACACTTCGATGTTGTGTCTAATGTTCCTTTACTGCATCGAAGGATGTTTTTCTTGCCCCTTCAGTGAAAAACCATTTTGTATTAGGGCCTAAATTTTTTTTTTTTCAATTGAATTTTTATTTTTATATTGAAAAGGTTTTAAAACAGGTAAAAAAACTTTCAAATTGTTTTTTTTGTTTAATTTTTTTATTTTTGTTTCAGATAAAATAAACAACTCCAAAAGGGGAAGTGCAGGATTTTAGAAATTGGGGGTTTTTAGAGCTTTCCCCCCCTTTAAAGGTCAATGGGCAGGAGAAAGGGGTTAATTCATGGTTTTTTTTTTCTTCCCCCAAACCCGCCCCCCTTTTTTGCAAACCCCTAGAAAAAAATTTAAGGCCCCAATGTGTGCCAAAAGGGAAAATGTTTACCAAAATCTATGAAAACAAAGAAGTCCCCAAACCCAAAAATTGGTTTGATGTTTTTTTTAAAAGGGGATTTGGCCTTTTTTAAAAAAAAATTCCCTTCCCCTTCCCCTGTTTTGTGGTAGTGGGGTTCTTTCCCTTTTTTCCTTGGGGATGGTTTAATAGGAAAAACCCAAAACCCGGATTTCAGTTTTTACAGCCCATTAGGGCTTAACCTTTTTAGGGGGGGAGGAAACATCAAGTTTTAAAATCCGAATTCCCCCTTTTAAAAAAAAATCCCTTGGCCAAAACCCGGGGCAGCAAAATTAAAAGGGCAGGATTAATTTTACATTTAAGGTAATACCCGTGGGCATCGACATATCGCAATAAACCTTATCCAAAACTAAATTAAAATTTGTTGTGTTTTAAAAAGGGGTTTTCAAAATCTTATTTCCGGCGATTGAATTTTAATTCGTTTACCGACTCACCCTTTTTGGGTTTTCATAGGAAAAAGGTGCTTTCCCCTTTTGAGGACCCCCGTGTGGCATGGTGATCCAAGTGGCTCATGGGAAGGAAGGGGTTTGGGGGAGAAATCCCTGAGAATCGAGGAGGAACCCCGGGGGGTGTTTTTGGGGGGGATAGCGAGAAAGAAGGAGAGAAAAAGAGAAGGTGGAGAGGAGGGGGGAGAGAGGGGAGGGGGGAGAGAGGGGACTGAAAAAACCGACAGCCGCCCCTGAGTTGGAGTTTTTCCCCTTTTTGACTGTGGAAAAAAAAGGGGGGGTTTTTAACCTTTTAGGTTTCCCAAAGCAGTGGGGTTTTTAAAAAAACTAATAACTATACAGCCCGGCTTTCATATTTTCCCACTTGGATTTTTTAATGCAAAAAAATTTTGGGAAGGGCCAAACTCTTTCTTGGGGGGGTTTTTTGGTAAAAGGAGGAAATTTTTCCTCTAAAACATAGGGTTTTCTCTCTTGACTGAGGGGGAAACTAGATTTTCCCTTCCGTTGAAAAAAGAGATAACACAGGCCCCCCAATTTTTAAAAGGGGCCCAACTGTGATATTTACTTTTGGGTTGGGAAAGGGCCCCTTTTTTTCTACACTGACTGGCTGTTGCCCTTTTTTGCCCCTTTTTTAGGGTTTTAAAAGGGGCAAAATTTTACTGGAGACCTTTTAAAACTCGCAACCCGGGTTTTTTATGAAAAAAAGCCCATTTGGAGAATTTTACACTTTCTCAATTTTTACCAGGATTAGGGTTTTAAACAAAAAAGGACTTTTAAGGTAGAGAAAAAAGGAAAAAAAAGAAAAGGAAAAAGGGGAGAAGGGAAAAAAGGAGAGGAGAGAAAGAAAATTGGAGAGATGGGGCTATAGTAAAGCCTTTTTGAAAAATGAAACAGCCACCCCTCTGACAAAAATTTTCTTAAGCATCAGAGGGACCCATCAAAGCTTTTGGGCAGGGTGTTACCTCACTTGGGGAAAGATCAACGTTAGATTTTTTTAAAATTTTCTGATCTATTTCAGCTGGGTCAAGCAACAGGGGATAGAAAATGAACGGGAAATAAATAGTCATACTAAGGGGGGTAAAAAGGGCCCTTTTAAAAATTCCCGGGAAAAGTTTTTAAAATATTATAGTATATATATATATATATATTTTATATATATAAATATAAAAAAATTTTAAAGAAAAAATAGTTTTCCCCAAAAAAAGGGGGGTTTTTTGCCATGCTGGCAATTTAAAAAACCCCAAAATGTATGGGCAAACCCCCAAAGTTAAAACCCCCCCCCCAAACCCCAACCCCCCCCACCAATACCCCCCCTGTCAAAAGCCTAACCCCCCACACAATACCCCACCCGTCAAAACCCTACCACCCAAAACCCTTAAACCCCCCCCGTCCACACCCCAACCAAACCCCCAAAAAACACTCCCCCACCCACCCTACCAAAACCCAAACCCCCAAAACCCCCCCCAACCCACCACCCACCAAAAATACCCTCCCCGTCCACACCCTACCACCCACACAATACCCTCCCAAGGGCCCCCCACCCAAACCCCCCACACAAAACCCCCCGCCACCCCCCCCCCAAACCCCCCCCCCAAAAAACAAAAAAAAACTTTTTAAACCCATCCAAAAACCACCAAAAACCCACACCCCAAACCCCCCCCGGTCCAACCCACCCCCCACACCAAACCCCCCCGTCCACCCCCCCACCCCCCCCCCACAAACCCTCCCCCCGGCCCCACCCTTTCCACCCCACAAAACCCTTTCCCCCGGGGCCAACCCACCCCCACAAAACCCTCCCCGGGCCCCCACCTAACCCCCCAACAAACCCCTCCCCCCGTCCCCCCCACCCTACCCACCCAAAACCCCCCCAAATTTTTCCCCCTCCACTCCCCCCAAAACCCCCCCACCCACCCCCACCCCCAATACCCCCCCCCCCACCCCCCTAACCCCAAAAAACCCCCCCCAGGCCCCCCAAAAAAAAGCCCATAAAAAAATTAATCCCCCCCAATTCCCCCAAAATTTTTGTAAATTTTAAAAACAATAACCTCCCGGGGGGGGGGGGGAATAAAACCCAATAAAGGAAAAACCAAAAGGTGGCAAGTTGGGGGGTTTTTTTAAAAAGTGTTTAAAAAAGGGCAAAAAGGAAGCAGGGGGGGGGGGGGGGGGGGAAGGGTTCAACTAAAAAAAGCGGTGTTGGGGGGGTCCCGTTTTTGGCCTAGATGGTTTTACTGATGTGGGGGGGGTTTGGGTTGTTTTTGTGTGGGTAAGGGATGTGTTTTTGGGGACTGTATGGGGGGGGTTTCTGAATTTTGTGTGTCTGTAGTGTGTGTACTGTATTGTGGGTACGGGATGTTTTGGTAATGTATGTGTGTTTTACTGTATGTGTGGGG